TTGAATAAACCACAAATTCTTTATAGGCTAGGTAGTGTTCCCAATGTTGGATTGCACGAACCAAAGCATAAAATTTCAAATCATAGGTGGAATAACGACATTTAGCACCCCACAACTTCTCACTAAAAAATTCCACCGGCCTTCCTTCTTGACTCAAAACAGCCCATATTCCTGCATGCGATGCATCATACTCAATAGTGAATAGCTTCTCAAAATCTGGTAGCGTGAGTACCGAAGCTTCTGTCGTCAATCTTTTTATTTGTTCAAAGGCTCTTTGTGCTGATTTTTTTTTTTTTTTTTTTTTGTGTTTTTTTTTATGAACCACCCACCCTTTTGGACTTGTAGCTATCAGGTAGATCCCGACTGTCACTTCAATCCCACATTATAAGCGGCAAGTAAGTTGAAAGTTATAAAGGAGGCGAGAAGGCTCGGACCTGGCCATTGATAACCAAAGCCCTCACTTACCAACTTTGTGCTGATTTTGACCACTCAAAAACATTTATTTTCAAGCATTCAGCGATTGGACTCATAATGGAGCTGAAATTGCAAATGAACCTCGTGTAGAATGAAACAAATTCATAGAAACTGCAAACATCACCAACAGATTGCGGTACTGGCCACTCCGTAATAGCTCTTACTTTTTCAAGATCAGCTTGCAAACCATCGGCTGAAACAATAAAGCCAAGAAACACAACTTTGTCACATAGAAAAGAGCATTTTTTCAAGTTTACATAAAGCTTCTCCTTATGGAGAACCTCCATGACTTGGCACAAAGGAGGGAGAATTTAAACTGTGAGTACACCTGTTCGGGAAAGTAGACACTCTACCAACTAGGGTAATGCCCAGGTTTCATCCTCCTTTCGGATGAATAAAAACGATCCTTTAGATATACATTTGCACCTCAAAATTATGAGTTAAAATAAATTTACTTTATATTTGTAGTATTCAATTAACGTCTTGAAATTACTCAAAACCTTGTGGTCAAATAATATATCTCTTATGCCTCTCAAAATAATTTGAATGGTGAGAATTCAAGTCTTCAAAGATCAATATGTGACTTATTTTTTTGTGTGAGGTTGATTAAGGAATTTTTTGAAGAGAAAAACAATTGACTCTATTCTTTAAAACATATTAAATTAGCATAATCTAAGATAAGCAATACTTGAACAGGAGGAGTAGAGAGCATTTGCTTGCAATAATAAAAAACAAAAAGGTTGATTGCAAATGTTGTAGCATTACTTTAAATATAAAAATACAAACTAGTCATTGAACATGCCAGCACAGGGAAATATCATTAAAAAAAAAAGTAAAATAAAATATGAAAAAGGTTTATTTATTGTCGACAAAAAGTGATTGTGTAACATGTAAGCACCACTTTTTAGAAATTTATTTTAATTAATCTCAAACCAACAAGTTCACTCTGATTAATTAGAGTAACAACTTTTTTAATGACGCCGACAAAGAAATAAAGAAAAGGAGAAAATAGTATGAAAGAAGAAGCAACGTGGAACATATTTGTAGCTAATTTACAGTTAAGGCCCATAATCTAAACAATTAAGCATTCTTTAAGAATAATACTCATCCTAATTTTATGGGTTGATAAGCTTGTAATTCTTTCTTTTCCTTATGCTTTGTTCATAAGAAAGAAAAAAACTGAACGGAAGAGAAAAAGAAAAAATAAATGAGATATCTTTAGAGAATAGATTGTGTAATTTTCTTTATGTTCGATTAGGTTGAAGAAAAGAAAATAAATTGACAAGTGTTCTTAGAAAAAGAAGAAAAAATTTAAAATTATTTTTACATTTATACCCATCACTACCTGTATTATTATAATTTACGAAGAATATTATTATAATTTAAAACTTTAGAATATTATTATAATTTACGAAATATTATTATAATTTAAAACTTTAGTAATTACCTGCCTTGTCTTATTTTCTTTCTTTCGTGATGAAAATTTGTAAAAGATGAAGGATAACTCATCTATCATTCTATCTCCTTATCTCTCTTTATTAAATTGACAAAATTTGTTCTTTTTCTTCCTATTTTTTCTTCACCCCTCATCTTTCTTTCCTATTGATTACACGGAGTACGTTTTTTACGTTTTACATATTTAAGTTTTTTTTTTTTTTTTCTTTCAATTTGTGGTTATTTATTTAAGTTGTGTTTTCCTAAATTTTTAGTCCGCATGTTCCTCATTATTTAAATTATATTAAAAATAAAGAAAAAAGTATGACTGAAGTTACTTCCACTAAACTTTATACTTATAATCATAAGATTGTAAGCTGAAAAATTCAGTATCAGTGTCATCATAAATTCATAATAGATATGCTCTTAAAAATATTTAATATCTACATATTTATCTATATATGTATAGACATATATACATATGTATATAGAAAAGAAAAAATATATATTATATATATATTTATTATTCAGTTACAAAGTACTTCTTTGCCCTCCCAATCAAAAAATTTTGGCTTCACCCACATACATATACATTAATGAGTATTTTACAGGGAGGATTGAAGTCACCCATGGACCATTTATAGCAATTATATCAAACATCAGATTGGGCGTGTGTTGTGTGTTATTATTGTAGGGGCATTTTAAAATTATTTTATTTGTCATGCATATATGAGACTTTTTTAAAAAAACAGAAAATGCATTTAGAAAGTTAGGAAGAATTTGTTTAGATTTTTCCAAATATAACATCTCTTTATTATAAAAGCTAACTTCAAGATTTTATTTTATTTTTTTCTTCCAAACATCACAATAATAACTAATCACAACAAAAAACAGCAATAATTTACATACGAAATAATTACCCTACTACGTCATTTGATTGGTCGTTAGAAGCTGATTTAATCATAAGAATCATTCTTCGTCACTTCATTATAGATCTGTAGATAACATTATCTAACAGAACAATTGACAAATAAATAAATAAACCTTATCCAATATAATTGAACGTCCAATCCTAAACACTATTATTCAACTAACTTATTGATAATTGATAATATAATATATTACCAGAGTAGACGTTATCTTCTAAAGTCAAACTGTTTTTATAAATTAAACAAAACTATAAAAAGTCAAAAAACCTATCTATTGAGTATTGACATTCATTTCGTTTTTTTATATATATATTTTCCATTTTTTTGGATAACCCCATTTTTTTTTTTTTTCCTCTTTTCCTTCTTGGGATACCGTTACCTTTTGAAATCTTAATTTTATTTAAATAGTTTAATGATAAATTAATAGCAACAACAATTTTGTAATATATTTCCGGAGTTTGACTTTATCTTCTAAATTCAAAGTTTCGTTGTAAATTAAACAAAAATATATACAGTCAGAAGACTTATCTATTTGACTTTGTTCACCTTTTTGGATAACCCGGCTTTTTCTTTTTCTTTTTCTTTTTATCCTTTTGTGAACATTGCATTGGAAATTCTTAATTTTTTATTTATTTATGAAGGTTAATGATAATTAATGATGACAGGAACAATTTTGTTATTTGTGTAAAAGTGTGGAGGTTAAAGACAATATGGTCGGGAAAATTTATGGTGGTTGTTCATTGTGGATTTCTCTAAAACATCATATAAAACAATTATATACTTTAAGCACTTTTTAATAGCATTTTCATTCGTTTAACCATTTTAAGACATAGAAGAATAGAAAATTCATGTGCGTTTGCAATTGTAAGCAAAGTTAGCTAACAAGAAAATGTGGTTACTTTGGCCATATCTTAATCTGAAATATATATATATATATATATATATATATATATATAACATTTAATTATTAAAATTATTAGATAAATCGGATCGTGGCAAGCATCTAATTGTGGGCCTAGCCCATATTATATGAAACAACTTTTAATTTTTTTAAGAAAAATGATAGAATCACCGAATGATTTTTCCGAATAAATCCTGAATCTGACGTGTCTTTTATCCACATCATCTATTTAAACAATTTTCAAAAAAATATTATTTAACACATGATAAGTGTAGCCAATCACATTAAATTCGGCACTTATTCGAGGATTCATTTTCGGTTCCCTATCATTACTTTTTTTATTGAAAATTTAACAAAAGAATAACAATGATGAAAAAAAAAAAAAAAACACAAACAAATTAATAAAATAAGAATTTAGATTCTTAAATCATCGATTTTTGTTGATATTCAAAACTTCAAATGAAATTTTTGTTCTTGATTTTGTGAAAATTAATTTCTTATAGAATTCTTATAAAAGCACTTCAATAAAATAAATAAAAAAATAAAAAAAAAATTAAAAAAAAAAAAAAAAGTGATGGAAAGAATCATGTATGAGATGGAATTTTAGAATAATAAAATTATGAAGAGAATCGTGCTTGTAGTCACATTATGGAAAGAACCGGTGTTTGAGTTGAAATTTTAAGATAGTCACATTAAATTTTTACGTGAATCAGTTTTTATCGGGGTTCTGTAGTCGTTAATTAAATCACTATATAAACTATCTTTTGTTAAATTATAATTAAAGAAATAATTTTTTTTTTTTTCTTAGGTGGTCCAAGTATAGATTTTTTATCATAAATGCTATATTATTTTATTTTTACCTATACTAAAAAAAATCCAAAAAATTAGGGGGGCCCATGGCCCTCGGCAGCCCCCTTCCCTCCGCCCCTGTTCATTAACAAATCAACCATATTTTAAGTAGGTTTGTAAAAGTCCATTAACAAATCAATCATATTTTAAGTAGGTTTATAAAAATTATATGGAATTTAGGCATGACACTGGTTAATTATTATTGAGATATATATTTTTAATAAAACAACCGCCGGAGTTAAAAATAAATAATCTAAATTTTTTTTGTGTAAATCTATTATGCTCACTTGGTAAAACTTAATTAATTAATTTATTTTTTAACTTTTGCCTAATTTAGTCTAAAAATAAACCATAATAGTTGCTACTTACCTTACGAGTTGGTTAAGACTGAGTAGGACGACTTACGAGTATTCGGTACACCAAACAACGCGTGTATAATCCAACCAAAAGTGTTATTTTTTCTGTTTTTATTTTTTCGGCAGTTTTATTCCAAAAACTGTATTTTTGTCACCTTTCGCTTCCCCGCTTCGATCCACTCTCTGCGCTCGCTCTCTCTCTCTCTCTCTCTCTAAAAGATATATAGATATAGATATAAATCTTCTTTGTAGACACGAAGAAGAGCGTGAAACTCTCTGGTGGGAGTTTGGGTTTGTGAAGAAGCTACCAACAGCCGTCCGATTAAAACTATGGAAATCGTTGCTCTCTGTTTTTCCTATCTGAAAATTCCATAAACCCTTAACCTCATCTGTTCTTCCACGCTCTCTCTAAAATTTCTCTCCCTCTCTCTCTCTCTTTTTCTAACCTTTTCATCTGAAAACGGCATTTTCCGGCCGCCTTTCTGGTCGGTAAGTAGCGATTGTCATTTTCTTGGGTATGAATAGTTTACGTTGATGTTGATTGAATTGTGTAATTGTAGAATTCTATTTATTTATTTATTTGAGTTTTTTCGATTTTATTACTCAATATGCTTTATCTGTATATTGCTTTTTTCTTCGTTTTCTGTTTTTGGTGACTGAGAAATGAAGGAGAAGAAAGAAAAGGAGATAAGAAGTTGAAATTTCTCCCCTAAGCCACCAAATGGAGCTTCAGGTTCTGTTTCCTTCCCCGGAAGGAGACGCAAAAGGGTTTTTGTCTTTTTTATTTTTTCTGATGTTTGGTTCCCATGAAACCAGAAAAGTCTGCTGTAGTCGGCTATGTAACTATATTTTCTCAACCATAACAATAAAAAATTATTAAGTGTTGATTTTTATGTTCTTTTAATTTCTACCTTTAATTTTTGGTTACCGAGGTATGGCATCAGTTTGACCATATCCAGGCAGAGATAATGGAAGATCGAAATCATAACCTTCTGCTTCCAGATGCTTGTGCGTCGAGTCCAATTCCTTGACCATGTTAATGTTTTCTACCCTTTCCTATAACCAATCAAAGCACTAACACATATATTACCGTTTGTTGTGTGTTCGACCACGAATAAATTTCATCTTTTTATTGTGTCAGGAAGATCAAATATTGACTTCTTTTCATTTATTTTGATTGGTCTGGGAATTGGGCGAATCTGCGTTTCGTTTTGATGTTTATTTATTTGCTGACTATTTTGTATGGTGTGTTGGAATTTGGGTTTGTAATTTGCAAGGTTAAGATGGTTTTGGTTATATATTGTAGTGAAGTCTAGGCACCAGGTCCTTCCTGGAAGTGCACTGAAGTAGCTTCTCTTTCTTCAGGAAATGGGCTGTTTTCAATCGAAGGTAAGAAGAAAGAAACATCCCGGACATGAGGACCCAGTAATGCTAGCTTCACATACAGCTTGTAAGTTGTTCAATTTATTAAGAATTTCTACTACAAATCATCCTTTGTTGATTTATTGAATTTGAGTTTTTGCTTTGCTCATGCCAAAATTTTAAGCCCATGACTGTGCCCCCCTCCCGCGCGCGCGCGCACACACACACAAAAAGAAGGTTCCATCAAGATGACCATGATATGCCTCAAGCTCTGTGCTCTCTGTATCTTTCTTAGACTGACTCTATTTGATAGGGAGGGGAACATATATGCATGATAAATTTGGCAATTGGAACTCTGAAATGCTAGAATTGTAGTTTGTGAATGATGTCCTTCCAAGAGTGTATATAATTTGTGCTTTAAGGGAAGTTTGGTGTAAATTTGATTGCTAAGAGGCGAAGGAAACTGTGCATTGATCCACTCAATGCGATAAAGGCTCAAGAGGGTGTGGACATTCATGCACAACTACTTTTCTTTTTCCATTTTTTTTTCCTGGGGGGTTGGGGGGTGGGGTGGGGTGTTAGGTATGTATAATCTACACTCCATATATCAGCATGAAATGAGCATAGTGTACAAGGCCAAGGGGGATGTTATTCTGAAAATAGCATACCAGGAACAAACAATAAACAAACGTAAACCAAAAATGAGCCGCTAGTCAGCCCTGGAGGTTACCTCCCTTCTTAATTGCACATGACAAACTAAGAAAGCAGCAATCCAAACAGTGCTAGCAGCACTAGCAAGCATGTCTTAAGAGTGTCTAATCCACGCTCAATTTGGAGACAAGGTAGTGGGATATTATGTGACAAAAGAATTGCACATAGGCTAAAAGGAAAATCTATAGGACCGTTATTAGACCAACTATGTTGTATGGAGCGAAATGTTAGGCTCTAAAAAATAAGCAAGAATAACTCCTTCATGTAACAGAAATGAGAATTTTAAGATAGATTGATAGAGTTACTAGAATAGATATGGTCATGAAAGAGAGAAATTAGATGTGGCACCCATTTGAGAGAAAATTAGAGAAAGTAGACTTCGATGGTTTGGACACCTACATCAGAGACCGGTTGACAAGCCCGTCAAACAAGGAAGACTAGTTGTAATAGAAGGTAATAGATGGAGAGGGTGACCAAAAATAACATGGGATGAGGTTATTAAAAATGACTTAAAAATGTTAAGTATAGTGGTGAAATGGAATGTAATAAAAAAGATTGCAGAGATCGAATTCATGTGGCTGACCCCATTCATAGGGGATTAAGGCAAGGATGATGATGATGATGATATATTCAGCATTAGCCCTGCTAATTTTTAATCCTTCAAATTCTATTGCATTTCTCCACATTTCTCTTGGGGCATTTTTGTCATTTACATCAAGAAAAAATACCGAGAAAGGGTAGTGTGAATATTACCTCTCTTTCTTTATGGAGTAAACCTTTTACCCTTGGCCATAAATCTGTTTGATTATGCATCTGGGCCAACATTACAAAGATGATTTATTCATTCTACTGTAATCACCCAAAAGATGGAGCCTTGTTTTGGCCGGATTGTCTGCTGCAAATTTATAATTTTAGATGAATTATAGTAACCACTGCATTTTCATGTTAGTCATCTTTGAAAATACCATTTTCTACCTGTCCCTCATGTCTCTTTATTTCTTTCATTCAATGTCTTCACAACCTCTTTTCCTTTATGTTTGTTTTGATTTTCCGATGGACAGCTTATGTATTTTCAATTTCTTGTTTCCTCAGTTAGTGTTAGTGAGGTTGAAGCACTGTTTGAACTATACAAGAGCATTAGTAGTTCCGTGATTGACGATGGGCTAATAAACAAGGTAATGAGTATACCACTGTAACCAAGGCTTTTATTTTACTGTAGCACTGCATTTACTCCATAAAAAAAACCATTAATGTTGCTTGGCATACCTTGGTTTTATCTCTCCCTCATTTTTTCTATTATTTTTTTCCCCTCTAGTATTATGCTAGTGGCAATCATTTTTCTTTTTCTTTTTCTTTTTCTTTGGAGAATATCATTTCCTCTACTACTGTAACTAATGGAACCAAATATTGATAGAGATCTGCATCATCTTTTGTTTAGATAGGAGGTCATCAGGATTATCAATAAAAATGTGTTCCGAGTGCAAATAATTTAATTCTCTTTCGCTCCAACTTCTCAGTAAGTCTCAGACAATAGACATCTCGTTGTCTCTCTTGCTGATGTAGAGAAATCAAGAGAACTTTGAAGAGTGGCTCCCTTTTTATTTTCCATGAAAATAATTGGTTCTCTTGAAGCTCGCATTGATGTATGAATATTGAGTAGCATGTGAAAACATGTTAAAAGTCAATATGTGCAAGATTAGGCTGTTGTATGGAAAATTTTTTAGAAAGAAGATCTGTTCTTTCTAGCTTTTATTAGGATAAGAAACCTGCAGATCAACTTTTCTGGTACCACATGTTATGGAGCTCTTTGATTAATGATGGTGGGGAGACAATGAGAAAACATGATAAGATTGTGAAGTGCACAAAATAATTTCCTTTAGCATTGTGGTAACTGTTAGGTTCCAAAAATGCTGTCATGGCGATTGCCTTCTAAATGGTGAGGATGGCTCATGATTCAGGATATGTATGTGAATATAGTAATTAGAATTCACACTACATCTTGTGAGACTAGTGTTTTTTTTTGTGTATGTGTGTGTGTGCGCGCGGGTAATAAATGTGGGATTGCACCAAGGGTCAGCACTAAATCCATACGGAACATATCTATTCACAGTAATTTTAGATAAAATTACACGAGACTTACAAGAAAACATTCCATGGTGCTTGTTGTTTGCCAATGACATAGTGCTAAAGGATATTTCTAAAGAGTTTTTAGCAATAAAATAAGAAATGTGGACAAAAGCATTAGAATTTGAAGGACTAAAAATTAGGAGGACTAAATCTGAATATATCATCATCATCCTTGCCATCATCATCCTTACCTTAATCCCATATGAATGGGGTTGGCCACATGAATTCTCTGTCGTCAATCTTTTCTATTATATGCCATTTCACCTGCTATATTTAATATTTTAAAGTCGTTTTTAATAAACTCATCTAAATAGATGGGCTGGAAAGTTAATTTAGAGTCAGCTATTGATAATATAATTTACAAAATCTTTTCTATTACATGCCAAAGAATTATCCAAAGTAACCATTTATTTTGTTTAGGATCAATAATACAAGAAGATGGTTAGAAAAATGGTGATCTCTACAACACTGACACGCCAATAAGAACACGTGTCCAACACGGACATGCATTCCCAAGCCTTGGACACGTGTCCAACATGCTGTAAAAGTGTCCCTTTATTTTATTTTTTAATCAGACATGCCATCAGACGCTGGACACGTGGGAGGACACGTCTGTAGATGATGTATAAATACATGTGTGTGCATATATATGTATCGATGACATGTATAAAGGAGATAAGAGAGATAAAGAGATGGAGGGTTTAAGAGAGGAATGGCTGGAAGAGAGTCTGAGAACTGTGATAGATAGAGAGTGAGGAAGAGAGACAGGTGAAGAGATGGAGGAGATGAAGAGAGGTGGTCTGGAGAGCCGTGAAAGAAAGAGAGTGGGAAGAGGAAGGGGATAAGATACAGAATCTTATCTTGTTTTCCAATACGTTTGGCTACTCGGATAAAAATGTGCCTTTTGAACATATAGATATATAGCTTTTATTTATTTTTAATGGAATTTGGACCTTTAGGCTTTCAGTTTTTCAAAATAAGAGTTGGGGCTATCTGGTGGTTCTAATTTAAATGGATTATGTTTATGAATATATATTAGAAAATTTATTTGTTATTTTATTGTCATATCCTTGTTGTGTCCGTGTCCTACTTTTTAAAAAAATTTCATATTGCTGTGTCTGTGTCGTGTCGTACCCGTGTCTTGTGTTAGTGTCCATGCTTCATAGATGGTGATATAATTAGTAGAATTGGAGCAGGTTGAACAAAATGGAGATAGGCTAATAGTGTTTTATGCGATAAAAGAATAACAAATAAATAAAAGAAATTTTTTAAAACACATTTATAAGGCCAACAATTTTATATGATGCAAAGGATAACAATGACGATGACTCATGATGTAGAAATTTTGCTTTCATATGTCAATATTTGATAATGTTATTTTCCTTGCTTTATTTTTTTATTGTTGACTTATATGGATGTTATTTTAGCCCTATCAAAAAATTGAAACTAGTAGTTTCAATGCATTCAATTTTTTAACTACAAAATATGCTCATCTTTGTGTAGGGAGATAACTGAGAATTTATTAAAATCTACTTTGTTAAGTTGTTCTTCATTGTGTAACAAAAAGGGAAGACGCTTTGTGTGAAATTTGGTTCCATCATGATATCATATTTTCTTGTTGAATATGCAGGAAGAGTTTCAATTGGCTCTATTCAAGAACAGAAAAAAGGAGAATCTCTTTGCAAACCGGGTATGACTTTTTATAATTTTGTGTTCAATTGGGATTACATTGATTTTAGTTGTGCTTTAAGTGTTATGTTGGTTCTGAACTACTAATATGAATCACCATTTAGCTTTTATGAAGATGTTTTTACGTATAAAAAAATGTACTAGCCTATATTAATGAGCTCTTGTCACAGTTGACTTGAATGTTATGAGGTTGGATGATAGCTCTTGTGTTAGAGTCCATGTACTCTTCCACGTCCAAAACAGGCGGTCGTGTGTATGATTGTGTGCGCGTGTGTATATATACATGCAAATATATCTGTATTTGCAAGGAGTTGAGTTATAACTTATGCCTAGTTTCTGATTTTGGAAATTTATATGGGAGACATGGGTCTATTAGGCTCTAAGATATGAAGTTGGACTTGATTGGTATGGAGGTATTTGGATATTAAGCTTGTCTGGTATGCTGAAGACAAACACAAACCATATTGGCATATTGGCATACAGATCACTTAATGTCTTCACTAATCATCCACACGTATCTCTCTCTATATATCTGTGTGTGGTTAAAACTTATTGTAAGAATCCTATTTCGTATTACAATTTAAGCAAACATTTTCGATCGGGTTTTTTTGCATGCAGATATTTGATCTGTTTGATGTTAAGAGAAAGGGAGTCATTGATTTTGGTGACTTTGTTCGATCACTCAATGTCTTCCACCCAAATGCCCCACAAGAAGAAAAGATCAATTGTGAGTCGAAATATCATAATTTTCTCAGATTGCTTAAACCGGAGTGCATTCAAAGTTTGCAATGCCATACAATTGTAATTGTGCCTAATAAGTTGCATTAAATTTCAGTTTCATTTAAGCTTTATGATATGGATGGCACTGGGTTTATTGAGCGACATGAGGTACGTTGGTATTAATTTATTAATTATTTTTTTGTATGGCCTGTGAAAGGAATTATAGGACCTTTATAATTCTCATCTTCAAGAATAAATACTTATGTGTGGGTGATATATTATATGTAAATTTGGACTCAGGATGTGTATAATTGGTGTGTTCGCCTTTACAGGACTGGAAAAGTCATTTGGAACTTGATGCTGAACATGGGTTGCATCTCTTATTATTATTATTATTATTATTATTATTATTATTTCAGTTTTTGGATGTCCAAGGGCTTAGTTTTTGCTCTGTACATGGGTTGCATCTCATTTGGGGCTTTTAATACAATGCCATAAAGCTGCATGCAGTAGTATTAATTCCCATGACATTGTCATAAATCATTATCTGTTTAGGTTGACCTATTATGTTGGATAATATGTTCGTATATCTCTATTTCCTTTTGTTAGAATGTATATATTTTAGCTAGTATCTCTCCTAGGGGCATACAAGTCTTTTTCACTGTATTACTAAAATGACATATATATATTTACATGTAAAAGAAGGAATAATGTAATGAGAACATCAAGTTCATATTCATTGTCTTATCAAACCCTAGTTCCTAAATTATAATCTCAACAACTTTATTTAGATGTACCTGAATTGTTGACTTGGTTCTCCTCTCATTCTTCACCAATTGATATTGCTTCTCTCTCTCTCTCTCTCTCTAGAGATGACTTTCATTGTCTTGATGATCTCAAAAGCATCCTAATCATAGCAGTTTGCAATGGTAGTTTTAATTGATATATTGAGAATTTGCGTTCTTGGCTTTACTTATGATCCTTTGGGGGATATAGTTGTCTATCAAGGCCATTTTCCACTGCTTATGCGATCAATGCAAAGGGCTGGGAGAGGTAGATCAGATACAAACCTAACCTTTGACATTGTTTGTCAAAAGTGGTTGCCATTCATATTTGAATCCACGTTGCACTCATCAGCCGTGTTTTACTGTTGCATCAAGCGTTAACCCTAAGTTCGTTCAGATATTCATTTATTATAGTTTTTTATTGGATACATTCACTCGATTTTGGTTTTGTTGTCATTGTTTCACCATCTTATACAGTGTATTGACTTGAGCTTAAAGAAATACAACAGTAAATTTGTTTCTCATTTCCAATATAATATCTAGTGCACTTTTTTTTTTTTTTTTTCCTCAATTTTTTTATAAGATGATTATAGGGCATCATGCTACTGCCATTGTTCTTTGCCAATTTTAGAAACGCTTCTTCTGAGAGCTTAATTATTTGTTAGTCTTTGCTAGTTTATATGCTTCTAAAACAAAGTCTATGGATTACTATATGAAGACATAACATTGCAGCGCACACCCAGGATTATGCATTAATTCAATCATTAAACTACATACAGGCATCTTCATTTTCTGTGGTTTTTGCAGGTCAAGCAAATGTTGGTTGCACTTCTTTGTGAATCTGAAATGAAGTTGACTGATGAGACTATTGAGACTATATTAGATAAGGTAAATTCTTTTAGTGATTGCAGATACTTGAGTGTAAAGTGATCCTGCATATCTCTTGGGAAACTTCAAAAACATGTTCCAATACCTCTTTGTTAGGACTATTCAGTTAATAACCTTGTGATGGGGATTGGGATGGAACCCATGTGACATTTTGCACCTATACCAGGCTGAGCAAGAGATATACAGATTACATTATTTGGATTTTATCTTATTTGTGGCATTAATCTTTTGGACTATTTAGTAATTGTTTCTTAGAATTTTCTTAGCAAATAAACTTTATGTGATGGGAGGCATAATCATATTATTATTCTTATTGGAGACTTAATCAGATTACAAGCTTTTCTCTGTTGCTTCAATTTCTTCCCCTCTTCTTCTCCATTGTTTTCTTCTCCTCCTCCTACATCAATTGCTATCAGAGCTTTCATGTACCATCTTATAACTTAGACTCTTATCCTGCTTGAGTTTCTAAGATGAACATGACTCGCTTGATCTTTAGTCCTAACCCCCCAAAAAAGGCATTTATAAATTTGATGGTCTGAAACTGTCCGTTTAAGAAAGTTGATTTCAGTGAAAATATGTACTTGATTTGTTGTCATTTGAGAGAGGGAAGTAAGGGGAGCAGTTCTAAGTGATATGCTGTGATTTTAGATTAACATTGAACCTTCTGTCACTTGTCCATGTAGTTGTGATGAATTACCTCCCACAAGTATTTCTTTTTGTTTCCCCTTCAAGATTTCCTTTTGGTTGTGGTTTCCCGGAAGCAGCTAGTTGATGATTGGTTACTAAATTTTGTGAACAGACATTTACAGATGCCGATGTAAATAAAGATGGAAGGATAGATAAATCTGAATGGCAGAATTTTGTGACCCAAAATCCTTCATTGTTGAAGATCATGACGCTTCCATATCTAAGGTATATATTTTAGTATTTTACTATTTTAGTTGTATCACATTCCTCTATCAAGCACTTCATAATTTTTAATATTATTCCCGGAAGGTAAGCACTTCATAATGTTGACATTCAGGAAATGGTTTTTTTTATTTTTTTTTTATTTTATATTTTTTTAAATGCAGGGATATAACGACAACATTTCCGAGTTTTGTGTTCAATTCTGAAGTTGAGGAGATTGCCACATAATAGAAAAACATAGCATAGGGATTTTATGCCCTTAGTGTGTATAAGCATTTGTGTTTTCTTTCCTTTGAAATTAAACATTTGCATTAGAGAGAGAGAGAGAGAGATTATATTTGTGATGGGAAGGCAAAAGCTACCTGCGCAGATTAACAATTTGTGGCCAAGTGTAACTATCAGTTATATATCAGTTGTGAAGTTCTTTTTGACTGGCATTTGCTAGCCCTATTGTGCGTGAATAGTGAGATTTAATGTGAGATGGAATTTTAAGACACGTACAAAGCTTGGCTTGAAATTGTTTGTCTTGAGACCGCATTGTTGCCCGAATTGAATGGTGTATTTATAGAAAGAGAAGTGATAGATTTTCCGACGTCAATTGCTGACTACTCCTCCGAATATAACGTGGTTGGGAATGAGTGGAAGAAAAAGAGATGTTTACTGGAATTTTTTTAAGAGTTCCAATGGGATCCAACTACGTTATATTCGTAAGAAGAGTCGACAATTAACGTCGGAAGATCTATCAAATTTAGCTGGTGTATGGGTAAATTTCAGTGATGCCTGAATGCTAAAACACATGTTATACCGTTAGCCTAATTATGATCCATTGATTACAGTATGAGAGCAGTTTCTTATAGTGTAACATCCTGTGACCTTTTGTGTGTGTGTGTGTGTTTTTTGAACAAAATGGGGTCGCGGGTTAAATACTTTGATACCCTAACATAAAGGTCCCTTTTCAAGATAGATATTCAACTCTTTATTACATTCTCTGTTAATATCTATTTTTTATTTTTATTTTCGATATTTGGCAAAGGTCTAGATCGAATTTTGAAGATGAACTAGTCGAGTTCATCCATCGGGGCGCGTAAAATAATTTTTTAAAAATTGATGGGTAAGTTATTTTTGTTAGATTTTCATATTTTTTTTCCTTTATAAATATTTTATGATAACCAAGCATCGAAAATAGAAAAATATTTTACATCCAAACAACAAACATAAAGTTTGTGTACTAATTTTTTCGCAACTAATTTTCATACAATGCAGAACAGTTGATAAAAGTAAATTTTCATTCTTTTTGTATTTCAATCAAACCTATTATTTCATACTATTACTTAATTCGATCCACAACTCATAAATGAATTCTGATGCAAAACTTCGATGGTAGTGACATTTTCTAAAGTATGGATAAATTACATTCGGATAGGAATGGATTGTTGTTGAGCGTGGAAGTAATTAAAGTAATTTTGAAGGTGAAAAAGTTAATAACACCTTTGAGTTATAATGATATTTTATATTACATTTTATAAAAATAAATAAATAAAATAAAATAAATTGCAAAATTATTACAGCATTTTATAAAATTTGATATGTGAGCACGAACACCGTGAACAATGATATGACCTCGTCTGATACCTAAATCTCCCTTCAAATGCCTTTTACTCTTTTTTTTATATTTGTCATAAAACTCGAATTTTTTTTTACACATTCTGGTCTCTACTCCCATTTTAGCATTCATTTCATGCTGTCTCACAAATGCTTTGACTGAAAATTATACACGCAAATTTCAGGTGCGTAGTCATCAAAGGTTCTGGATTTTTCTCGGCAATCGGCCAAACAATCGAAGGAGAATAAGAAGAGCTCTGGCAAGCTTGAGGTGTGGTTAATCACTGTGTGGTCAACTCAGATGGGTGACAAATTGAGGCAACTATAATGGAAAGGTATTGTATATTTAACTGTGATCTCTGTTTCAAATTAGCTCTGAATATATGAAATGGAAATCGGTTCTTGAGCTTGGAATTTGTTTTAAAATAGAGAGAGAATCGGTACTTAAGCGACCTATAACCAGTTATTTGAACCAGGTTAGGGTTTTCAATTAAACCCCATTCTGTTTCTGGGTTTTGTTTGTCCTGACTAACACACAGTGCCCAGTTGGCTCCGGAGACAGACTCCGTTTCAAGCTAATCACTGTGTTTCGATTAGGTAAGCTCTACCTCTCTAACATTAATTCGATTATGGAAAAATAATTTTTTCGCCAAGTTTGGTGCTTGATAAAGAATGAGATAAAGCAAGAGAAATGTTCTAATAATGCTTTGAAAGGGTAGAGACTCTCTCCATAAGAATGCGGGAAACTAGAGTGAAGAGCTTGAAACCAATTTGGGTTTTTTTCCTCCCTTGATGAATGAGACTTGGTTGATATATGGGCATTTCTAAAATTGTGCTTGTTCAATGGTTAAGGAAGGAGGTACACCTTGAGATTGAGCTTTTCTTCTTGACGGGACTGCTCGTCTTTGTTCAGCCCAGCTGTTTCGGTTGACTGGTCATGGTCACTACTAGTTAGCTTTGCGAGGCTTGGATATATTATCCAATTTCTTCTTCCTCCTTCATGATCTTTTGAAATGCAATCACAAACGCAGAGAGATATTTTTCTGGATAGATAAATTATGGGGATGCTTATTGGGACCTGCGGACTTTGTTATTTTAAAATTTTCAATGAGCAAATTTTTAAATTTGTGTCCCATTTCTGATTCATAATTTTTTTATTGTTTTTGGCCTTATTCTGACCATTTTTGTATGAATACAATTTTTTTCGACTTTGGGCAACCTGGGTTTTAAGTTTATTTCAGCTTTCTATATATATATATAATATTTTTATGGCTAAATCACAATTTAATTACCTAATTTCAACCCCATCACTTAAGAATTGAAAGAAGCTAACTTGCCCTTGTAACTTTATTTCCTTTTTTTTCTTTTTTCCTAGTTGGTACTCACACACACATGCCTCCACAGAGGCTCGAACCCCTGACCTCTCTTTGAGAAGTAGGAGCTTGATACCGCTAGGCCACAGGCTTGTTGGTAACTTTATTTCCTTTTTAATGTAAAAGAAATTGTAAGTTCTATGTGACTTATCAGTATCAAGGCCAAACTTGTTCCACCTAAGTTTTACCCCTCTTTGATTTTGAGTTATGTTTAGATCTGAATCCATGACCTGGTAATATTATAATATAGAATTTATAGAATTAAATACAAAAATGGGTAAATATTTCATATTTTTGTTTGGCCTTAAATTGCTTTGTTTTATATCAGCATAATCGACATCTAAATTCTATATGACTCTACTCATTGATCTTGACACAACTGTAACACTGAACACTTCAATATGGAGAGAATGATGAAGAGCTTCCATAATATTTATATTTTTAGATATGAACGCATGTTCTTGCATGTTGGCACAAGTATGATGTGATAATTAAGGTTCATCTCATGTCTCTGCAAAGTTATAATTGTGATGTATTTTTCATATTGCTTTATACTTTCTGTTATTCTCTTCTATTATTTCTTACAATTCTGTGTACCTTATTCAGTTTAGCTCTTTAAACAGATTATTGGTCCGAATTTTTCCAAAAGAGGATCTGGAATGACAGCATTTCTGGAATTGGTTCACTTATCATGTGATTATTGTCTGATGATAGTGTCTTTTATGTTTTGATGATGCCACAGAATACAGGTTTGGTCCTCTTCACATGGGTTATAGCAAATCCCTGTGCCCAGCAAACGGATATGTTAGTGCCATCACTATTATATACTTGCATAAATGGTTATTTGAATGGCGCAATCAGTGACAAAGGCTATCCTGTTACATGCTCGCATCATCAAGAGCTATTCATCAGTTGTTCGTGCAGCTCCATTTATCCAAAAGACTGCCTTAAGATCAATCTATGACAGAGAATTTGTTCTTAGCTACAACGTCAGAAAGTTTCTAGTATCGGACCTCTGCCATAAACAGAATCAGAATCCCTCTCTTCGATATTTCTCCACAAGTATCAAGCCAGAAAGATTATGTTGGGAAGTATCCTCTCATGCAGTTTTGTTGAAGAAGCTTGAAGTTGCTTTGAGGGATCATCAAGTGGATGAAGCGTGGGAAACTTTTAACGATTTTAAAAGATTGTATGGTTTTCCTAACCACTCTCTCATTGGAGGGTTGATCACTGAGTTGTCCTACTCATCTGATCCCTGCTGGCTTCAGAGGGCATGCAATTTTGTTCTATTAATTCAGAAAGAGAAATCAGATTTACTTCGGTCCGACTCCCTGACAAAGCTCTCCCTCTCCTTAGCAAGATCTCAAATGCCTGTTCCTGCATCCATAATTCTCCGAATGATGCTAGAGAAAGAGAGCCTACCCCCATTGAATATTTTAGGGATGGTAATTCTGCATATGGTGAAGACAGAGATTGGGACATACCTTGCATCAAACATCTTAATTGAGATTTGTGATTGTTTTCACAGTTTAAGTGCAAACAAAGGCACTTCTAAAAAGCCGATAAAGCCTGATACGATGATCTTCAATCTTGTTCTTGATGCTTGTGTGAGATTTAGATCATCTTTTAAGGCCCAACAAATTATAGAATTGATGGCACAAATGGAGGTTGTAGCTGATGTGCACACTATTGTTATTATTGCCCAGATCCACGAGATCAATGGTCAGAGGGATGATTTAAAAAAATTTAAAGACCATATTGATCAAGTCTCACTTCCTTTGGTTTGTCACTATCAGCAGTTTTATGACAGTTTGCTGAGTTTACATTTCAAATTTAATGATATTGATGCTGCTGCTGGACTAATATTGGATATGTATAGGAGTCAGGAGTCTCTTGCAGCTCAAAAGGGAGGAAGGGACCCGCAGAAGCTTTGCTTTGTTCCTATTGGATCTCACAATCTCAAAACAGGATTGAAAATACAAATTTTACCTGAGCTACTGCAGAAGGATTCTGTCCTCACATTGGAAAGTAAACAGGGATTCGTCTTGCATAAGAACGGCAAACTTGTCCTCAGCAACAAAGCACTGGCGAAGCTCATCATTCAGTACAAGAGATGTGGGAGGATTAGTGAGCTGTCAAAGCTTTTAAGCAGTGTCCAAAAGAGCTCGTGTTCAGTAAAAATAGGCAGTTTGTGTTCCGATGTGATTGATGCTTGCATTCATTTGGGGTGGCTAGAGACTGCTCATGACATTTTGGACGACATGGAACTGGCAGGGACTCCCGTGGGCGCTAGTTCATATGCATTACTGTTTACAGCTTATTACAAAGGAAAGATGTTTAGGGAAGCTGAAGTACTGCTAAAACAAGTTAAGAAAGCTGGTTTGGTTGTTGATATGTCGGAGAAGATAGCTTTATCAGCATATCTTTCAAAGATAGAAGATGAAAGCACCTTGACTTCAAACTCAATAACTTCAATTGTAAAACCAGATATGGCTGAGTCTATCATTCGGGAGATGAGAGAAGAAGAGAAATTGGTGCCTTCTGTGGTGTACGAACTCAATTCTTCTATCTATTTCTTCTGGAAGGCCAAAATGATAGAGGATGCTTTGAAGACATACCGAAGAATGCAAAAGATGAAAATCCAGCCCACAGTGCAAACTTTTTTCAGTATGGTTTGTGGGTATTCTTCTTTGGAAATGTATCGGGAAATCACAATCTTGTGGGGGGATATTAAGAGGAATAGGGAGAATGGAAATTTTGTGGTTAACAGGGATTTGTACGAGTTCTTGCTATTGAATTTTCTTCGAGGTGGTTACTTTGAGAGAGTGATGGAAATTATTGGTTACATGAAGGAGCATGGGATGTACACTGACAAGTTGATGTATAAAAGGGAGTTCCTAAAGTTACACAAAGATCTCTACAGGAGCTTAAGAGCATCAGAAGCTAGAACTGAGGCTCAAAGCAAGAGGCTTGAGCATGTGAGGGCATTTAGGAGGTGGGTTGGCATTGATTAAACTTCATTGAAAGTTTTGAAGCAGATGGCTTGTTAAAAGCTTGGTTCCTCATGTCTTTGCCATGTTCATCTCATCCTTTGACTTGTACACATGCATTCTAGAAATGGCTTATCAAGCATTGTGTATCTTCCTCTTTGTGTATCATAGAAATGGCTTATCTGAATTGACGACCTAGTTTTAAAGAAGCCCAACCAGCTCTCCCTGCCGGGATCTTCAGAGAAAGTTCAAAGCGCTTTACCAGTACATGATACGAGCAGTTGAACTTCACATTCACAGAAAAACTGCATGAATATGAGAACATTTTCTTTCCGTCAGTGGTAATCCAGTTTTTCTGTTTATGAGATGCTTTTGGAGAAAATCGCAGGGGGTTAGGAGATAAAGATGCTTACGTGGTTTGCCACTATGTCAATGATGACAGCCACAAGGCCAGCATCTGAGCTTGTCCATATGTTGGTAACTAAGGCTCTTTGAGGTCAATGCATCGTCACACCGGTCGTATCATGTATGGCTTCACAACTGAAATTCTGGTCGTCGAGTACCCTAGAGGTGAAGTTCTACTAGTATTTAACTGCAAACTTACATGTTCCAGTTTATTTTTAACTGATTGTAGTTGTATATTCGCATAAGGTTTCCTGAACTTGTATACATATATACATATGAATCATATGATATTGGAATATAACATTCATTTTCTGAGTAATGGTATACCACTATGCTAAAAATAATAATAACCACCATTTCTTCAATCAGGAAATGAATTGAATGAAATTGACGAGTGTTTTGGAACACAAATGAAACTCATCAATGATACTATAATAATCTCTTCAATGGATTCCTCGGGCAAAAAAGGGTCCCACAAGAACCACAAAACTGTGTTGAATTTTTATTTTTTATTATTTATTTTTTATTCCATCACTCTTCTTACTTTTGTTCCCTTGATTCTCAACGCAGAGTTGACCAAGACATGGGAGGTGCTTTGTTTCTGGGCAATTTTGCTAACCAAATGAAACTCTTTGCTTGGTATGTGCTTTCGGTTTCAAATTCAACATTTACATAAAAATCTTTGTTTTTTTCTAAACAAAACACTTGAATTAAATTAAGTTATATAGGTGTTGTGGAAACTTTTTATTTTTTTATTTTTTATCTTCCATTTTCTTTCTGAAATTACAGTTAAAGCATGCAAGTTTATGTTTCTAATGTTATTTTTGGTTCTGAGTATCCGTTTGGACTTTGGAGTAGATAATAGAAATTATAGAATATGATCATGGCCATAATGGGCGATTAGGGCTGAAAGAGAAAGGGAGAGCAAACAGGAAGAGTAGAGAATATCAAGATTGAAAGATGCTTTACATAGCATACGGCTGCTGTGTATGAAAGATGCACACAACATATGGGTGTTGTGTGTGTTGTGTGTGAGAGAGAGTGGTAAGGAAAGAGAAGGCATCAAACCAGTCTTTGAAGATGCACAATTAGAGATATAAACTAAACACACCATTTTGATGTCATAAGTTAATTGCAACGTGACTTTTTTTATATATCCATGCAGTGAAGGTTTTAGAGGAGAGGAGATGGATCCTATTTTGACAAGCCACTATAGGTCACATGCTACGACAATGGTATGCTCATTCAACAAAAATAACTTACGAAATTTAGACATGTAAATTGTTTTTGGCCTTTTAATTAAAAAACTATTTTCTTTGTAAAATATTTATAAGAGGAAACAAATATTAGAAAATGACAAAAAAATAAAAATAAAAATAAAAATAGAAAATAGAAAATAGAAAATATTTGATATTAAAACAAACGGAGCCTTAAATTCTAGGACTGCAAGCGAAATGGTAATGCGAAAATGCCATATCGAAGGCTGTGGGTCGGAAGGACATGGACCATAGAAAAAAAAATTGTGAACCTTAGTTTTGATTAGCTTGGATAAAAAAGTGTCACATGGTCCAGAATCATTTAATAATTTTTTTATAAAGAAAGTATGAGTGGCGGGCGGCCCAATGGTGAACATTAGATATTTGAGAATGAGATTAGCCTCAATATACATCAAGTAATTCCAACCAATTATGTAAAGATGAATATTGATGTCCGGTTTGCAATTCCCCCACTGTTCAACATCCTCTTTTTCCTTCTTTAAAACTCCAACAGTACTGTGTATCACTTATTCTGAGCTTGTATTGAAGCCAACTTCTTGGTTGCTCATTATTATTGCCATTCTCTTCCTAATTACCACCGAACCCCTCCGTCTCATTGCCGGAGATTTCTCCGGTCTCTTGGCTATTTCATTGGTATGCTCAATCTTATTGTCACAACCACATTTCTGGATTTTGCATACCTCATCCTCATATGCATATCCCCTTGGTATGACTTGGCCTTGCTTTCGAATCTTATTCACCCTTTGGTTTTGTGACACACTCCGAGCCATTCCTACTCCATCATCATTCCCATTTTCCAACTCCAAGAGATAGAGCCTCCTCATCAAATTGAAATTGAAATTGAATGAAACCATGTTGTGGACCATATGTCGCCGGAAAAAACCAAACTTAGATTATATGACCACACTTGTCAAAATTGGATCTGTATATGTATTGGGTGTATGTTAAATTCATATATATGCATAAACACACAAAAATATGAACATATAAAGGTTTTTTTTTGTGCTTTGTTAGTTGTATGGAACCTGATGATGCTGCAACTAATAAAATGATGTTATGTCGGTGTGTTTTGGTAAAGATGTGACATCTTGTAAGTTGTAATAATTGGTGAAGTTTGATATAATGGTTCAATTACTTGATTCATTGATGGACTTGTGTGTGGATGGCGTAAAAAACAGGGTATACTAGTCGAATTAAAGTACTATCCAGTGCAATCAGAATGGTTGATACTTGATATTAATCCAGCAATACGTGAGATACTGAATTGATTTCAGCCCTCCCCGCACCACGGAATACAAGTCACTGAAGATGATTTTAAATCATCCTCGTGTCACCAAAATTTTATTTTTGAAACATGTTTTAGATTTCATATAATTAGTCAACAGATGGTGGAGTTTACTATTTTGGTTCAATTACTTAGATTGTCATTGTTTCAACAAAAGAATGAATAATCACCTCAGCATTACCCTCAAAGATCAGTATTACAAATTAAAGGCAAGGCCTAGGAACTGTGTGTGGGCAAAAACCACCCAACTTAATTGCACCGGTTGTAGTGATGATATGGCATCATCATCTTATAAATAGTAACATGCAGTGTGACACTATGACATGATACAATTAGTTGATGACACATATAATGAAGTATTAAAGGTGCATAGAATTTTTTCTCGAAAAAATAGAGCATTTTAGTTTGGTAACACAATATATGTATACACACACACACGCACAGAAAAAAACAAAAGAAATGGATGAGCTTCTCAGCAAGTGAAACCAATGATTTTAGCTTAGTAGTACTTTGTTGCCTTCCAAGTAGGAAGTCCAGGGTTGAAATTCTCGTGTGGACAAGTGGGTGAACATTAGATCACAAATCACTAATCCATAGTTGAGTTCAAATTTTCGTAGGGACAAGTGGGTGAACATTATTATCACAAAAAACTAAACCATAGTCGAGTCTACAAGCTCTAAACATATAGAGTAATTATTTACGCGTCACAGAACCATATATGTTCTTTATGTGAAATTGCGAACACACCATAGCCATGGAAATCTTGGATTGTGTACTAAAAAAAATGACATATGCGCTTTGTGTATGACCTAAGAGCGACAAAACAGTGCCCTTTTGGGTCCAGGAATTATGTTAGATAACGAAAGGAAATTGACAAAAATAAAAAATAAAAACTCTTAACCTTTTTATTGCTAGATTAAGTCAATTATATAAGGTCATTTAAAGTTATGCTAAAATGAATATAACCTAAAAGTAACTAAATTAGTGGAATCATTTTGTTTTTTTAGGTGCAAAAAAAAAATGTCTGGACAATTCATGGACTATTAAATATCCAGTAATCGTTTTAATTTGTTTGGTTACACATTTGTGGGGGCACAAAGGTCATTTAAAGTTTTGCAAAGCTCAGACTTAAGAGTGACTTCAGAGTATTTGTTAGTGATTTTTAATGGCCATGTCATTTTCTTGGCAATTTCTCCTGCTCGGTCTGTTGCCACAATTCAACTACTAGATATCCTCAATCAGGAAAAAGCATGTCCTTTCTTTATGGACTTACAAAGAAGAAATGGTCTGTGACTTTTCCTGATCATGTGCTTGAAAGAGAGCTCATAGTTGGAGCATAACATCTAAAAATGCAATGTCATTAATTAGGTCAATCTTGGGGTTAAAGTGTTGTTTTTTAACCAAAATCACTTGCTCTTTTCTGAGAGGTGATTTTATACCACTGCATGCACAAGGATGTTTTCAAACCTGTGTTAAGTTTTCAAATCTGCAGTCATTCCCTTAATAATTAATGCTTTGTTTAAATTATTAAGCGAACGGATGCAGATTTATGATGAAAAGGATATCTTTTCCACCCTAATTGTGTTGAAAAGTGAACAATCACCCATGAAAATGATTGTTTTTTCCACCCCAATTGTGATGAACAATGACCCATGAAAATGATGGTTTTTTCAACCCAATTGTGATGAACAATGAGACATGAAAAGGATAGTTTTCCACCCTAATTGTGATGAGAAGCATTACCCATAAAAATGACAGTTTTTTCCACCCTAATTGTGATGAACAATGGCCCATGAAAAGGATAGTTTTTCCCACCCATGAACGATTCCCATGAAAAGGATAGTTTTTCCCACCCTAATTGTGATGAACAATGGCCCACGAAAAGGATAGTTTTTCCCACCCATGAACCATTCCTTTTCCACCCTAATCCATGAAGTATGGATTTTTCCACCCATGAACCATTCCCATGAAAAGGATAGTTTTTCCAACCCTAATTGTGATGAACAATGGCCCACGAAAAGGATAGTTTTTCCCACCCTAATTCTGATGAACAATGACCCATGAAGTATGGATTTTTCCACCCATGAACCATTCCCATGAAAAGGATAGTTTTTCCAACCCTAATTGTGATGAACGATGGCCCATGAAATGGATAGTTTTTCCCGCCCATGAACCATTCCTTTTCCACCCTAATTCTGATGAACAATGACCCATGAAAAGGATAGTTTTGGCCACCCTAATTAGGTCATCTATACAGAAAAGGGAAAATTCAAAGAAATTCATGATCCTAGCTTAATGGGATAAAAGATGAGTATCACAATCATGCTAGGTTCTACATATTGTTTGCGTCACATATTGATTTTAATAAAATAAAAAAAAAAACCTGAACTTTCCTGTCAAGGATCCAATATATAAATAGACATGGTCCAAGAATTATCAACTCACTCATTACATCCTCCTGCTTCTGCTAGAAAACCACAGTGAGGATGTACTCCTTTGATCTAAGGCATGCTGTCCTATTTGTGATAAACATCCTAAAATCAGGAACAAGCATGCCATGGGATTGGGATCCATTCCACACAATTGGTCATCTCACTTGGAAAAGTTTTTGGCTTCTCACCATTCTCTTCTCTCTATTCTCCTTTACCTCCATCAGAATTCCTCTGACTTGTTCATCACCCAATACAGGACACATATACCTACAATTCAAAGGTTTCTCTGTCACCCTCACTCTTTCATTCGTTGCCTCAGTTCTCTTCCCACAAGCTTTCTTCTGGTATGCATATCCCATTATCATTTTGCTTTCTTCGTGCTCTGCTTGGCTTTCCCATATGTTCAAGAGCTTCCTATATTGGTTGCAAGCCATTCTCTCAACACTCCCTGATTTAAACATTCTCATCACTGCAACATGCACTGATATGGTGGAACCACAACATGTGGATCAAGGAATTTTAGGGCATAATTTTGAAGATGGAGGCGAACAAGTCTAATCCGTTATTAAAGTTATCGTTCTCAGAATTACAAACCAAGCAGGCTCTATGTTTTTCCGATATTTTCTGTGTTTTTTTTTTTTAGTGTTACTTTTGTAGGTTGTCATTTTTTTCTTTCTTTCTAATCAGTAGGTTGTCATGTTTGGTTACTTTGAAGGACGTTGTATGTACAGTTGTGCTTTCTTTTTTGTTCATTAACATGTCTTGTTTATGCCATATCCTATGTACAATTAGAAAAAGAAACCTTTGGACAAAGAATGCAACTCTTGGAATGATGGTACATGAAGCACCATGCATGAGCCATGGCAAAAAGATAACCAAGTACATCAACTAATTAATCATCCTGAACTGAAGAAAAAGGCAACCTTTGACTAATGTTGATTATGAGAAGAAAATATCTCAATTTCCCATTATTTCTTCTTCACAATTGATTCCAGAATCCTATAGAAAGATAACAAAGAATAGATTGAAGGGTTCTTTTGTTTAATAACTAAACAAATATGGCTACTTTCCATTTCTATATAAATTAAAAAGAAAATGAAAACTTAATGATCATTAAGTATCAGTATTTTAAATATTTTCAATTTAAAGAAGATTGGTAAGTATGCTTGCTAAGACTCTAAACTTGGGAATTCAACCTGAGAGAATTTTAAATCAGAGCTATGCTCATGAGAGAAAACTTTTCTCCTGTTGAAGGGTCAGCTTAAAAAATACATATTCTTAGTCCTTCTCTGTTACAAATTTTCATGGTTGATCGGTTGCTTAATTCTTACATTTTTTTGAAAGTTCAAGCAAATGCACACACATCCAGGCACGGACCTAATAAGGGCCCAACCCCCATTGGATTTTTTTTTTATTTGTAAAATTGCCTATAAATTTTGTAAAAATCATATTAATGTCTGCACTTTTCTGTAAAAAAATTTAAAATGCCTAAAATGCCCCCACTCAATTTCTAATGATACCCAGTTATATATTATTGTATTCAAGGCCGTCCCTCTCATACAATTCTCTAGGTCCATCACTGCACACACTCACAATATTACATGTAACAGGCTTGAACAGAGACTCGAACACTCAACCTCCCCTTTAAAAAGGAGAGATCATATCATCTGGGCTAATTAAAAGTATGATAAATATTAAAAAACAATTACAGATGTAGAAAAAATCTGAGATGATATCATCTGGACTAACCTATCCACTCAAAATAAGGGTCTACTTCTCTCTAACAAATATAAAAAGTGCTCATTGGTTAATTACTTGTGAATTGTAATGGAAACACTTCATGGTTGGTTTGTAGTGGTGACATGGGATTCATGACAGTTTGCCAAAAACCTCTTAAGCATTCTCTATTTCATTCTCTGGTAGTGTTTGTAGTTATTATTATTATTATTATTATTATTATTATTAAGTAACGGGGGGTGGGGAAGGAGAGAAAGAAAAGTTGGAAGAAGATTAATTAAGAAAATAAATGAAAATGACTGAATTCTAAAGAAATGAAAAAGCCAGATTTAGATTACCAGTGGCTAGAAGAGAAGTTTCTTCAAAAGAATGGATGACCCTTGTCCTTGTCATGTTTTGAAGGGGGCAAATATAATATTGGATGTTGTCAACCTCAACTCTCCTTAAAAAAATAAAAAAATAAAAAAATAAAAAACTCCAAAACTTAAAAGAGAAAGGAGGGTTGAGGATTGTTTGTGTAAACATTAAAATTCCAAAGATTTTTGGAGTTTTAATGTATAGACAAATAATCCTACTTTTTTTTAGTAGTCAACTGAAGTCAGTCATATCATTTAAAAATAAAGTTAATTCAAACACATAATTTAACTCTAAAATTAACTAAATTCATTGGGGGTGTTGACTTTTTGAAGCACATGTGCCCAAGTTTAGGAAACGTGAAGAGACTCCATTATATATATATATATATATATAATGAGAAATGCACTCCACTTTATTTTCTTTATAAATGTAATACTATTTTTTTTTAAATCAAATTACATAAATACCCCTTATTAAGAATATATATTTGTTTTTATTCCTAAGAAACACACTCATAAATCCCTCCACATGCCATTACAGGCACTTGTACCCATGAGTCATTGACCTTATACTTTGAAAGACAAGGAAATACCACTAACCTAAAATTGAATAGAGGAAAGGAAAATATTTATGTCAAAAAAAAGAAAGGACAAAATTCTCATTTTTCATGCATTTATACCATTCTGAAATATGATAAAGGCGCTCCATTTTTGTTTTTTCTTAAATTAAAAGACATAAATGTCCCTTATACTTAATCATCATGAATTGAACAAAGACAGTAATATCATTTCTAGAAAAAAATATATACATCATTTCACATTTAACTAAAGTGGAGTGCATTCATCACCTTTCCAAAAATGATAAATGCATTCTTCTTTTCTTTTTTTTCTTTTTTGTTATTTAAAATGACGTAAATATCCCTTATACTTAATTATCATGAATTAAACCAAGGAAAATAATGTCATTTGGTGCTTTCGTTGGGGAGATTCCTATTTTTATCCATAAAGCAGCAGTTATAAGCGTTATTGCTTTATTTTACTTTAAAAAATAATAAAAAGGCCCTTATTTTGAGTGGATAAAAAAAATGCAATAAAGCTTATAATTTACATAAGGTTCCTTTACTATCTAACAATTATAAACTTTATTGTCTTTTTTACTTTTAAAAACACACACACACACAGGGGGTGGAGCCAGTGTATGCGTAATGCAGGTACCCCTTTGCCTGGCCCCGTTTACTATAAAATATATACTAAATTTATATATTTTTATATGTATATATGAAAAAATTTATATAATGTCCCTACTAAAATTTTTATTTTCTAAAATTCTCTCTTAAATTTTGTATTTCTTCTCTTTTTTAACTCTTTAAATTCGTTTAATTTCCTTTTTAAAAAATCAAATTTTCCTTTTTGAATCAAACTCCAATTTTTTTCCCTTTCAAAATTATCCGTTTGGTTAGATAGAAATAAGCAAGAAAAGAAAAGAAATGGAAAATGAAAGAAAAGTGAAGTGAATGAAAAGAAAAGTTATTTTCTATGAAGTATTTGGTTAGTATGAAAATTTATTCAGGAAAATTGTATGAAAATATTAGTTTGTTAGTTTGGATAGCATGAAAATAAAAAGAAAGTGATTATGCATACCAAAATTACTCTTATGATTTCAAATACTAAAATAAATAAATAAATTTGTGTTTGATGATGTTTATTTTATTCAAAGTTTTAATAAAATGATGAATTATTAAATTTTAAAAATATAATGATTTATATTGTTTAAATTAAAACAATACTTCAAGACTTCTTATGTAGAACCGTAGAAGCAGAATTACCTATTCATTTAAGAGAAATAAGGAAGCTTAAAAATAAAAATAAAAATAAAAAATTTTGGGCTCATGAACTCATGGGCTTTCAACTAGAGAACACAAAAAAAGAAAAATTATATATTATTCTCTGTCTATATAATAGAAGTGTATAATATATCTGATACAATGTATATATTCGGAACCCAAAAAAAAAAATTGTCCCAATGGTATTGTAAGAGAATATGTTTATAGAGAAGTTACCTTCTATAGTCCACTAAAATATAAATTGTTAAAAAACTTGCCTCTAGTAGAAAAGAAATTCAGTTTGAAAATAAAGAAATTAATTGTTTTACATAATTCAGTTGTTGGATAAGATAAGAATTTTAAATAAAAAGAAGTAGTTTTCACGAGAAAATTTTATTTTCCCATGTCGTGTTTTGTGTGAGAAAAGTTTTGGGGGAAAGTAGCCTAATACGGGAAACTATATTTTCTATTACGATTCTTTTTCCATCCATCCAAACTCTAAAAAAAAATTAAAAATTTCTTCTTTCCTTTCTTTTCTAATTGATTCCATCTAACCAAACGAAGCCTCATTTTTCTTTCCTTTTTAAAATTTTTGTTAATTGTTTATCATTCTTAAACTACTCATTGATTGACATATTATTTTAAGTTATTTTTCTTTTTTATCTCTTAATTTATAAAATCTATATTTATTGTCGTAATTATTAAATATTTTTTTTACACTTGCTCCCATGAATTTAATTTCTGGCTCCGCCCTGCTGACTCGGAGGTTGGGTTGATAAAACTTATAATTGGGCTGCAGTCGGGATAATGATCTGACTTAAAGGGCTCTAATTAGGTCCTAGTGGGCTGCATTCTCTGAGTATTGGGCCTAAACCGATTCCCGAGGCCCTAGTGTACTCCACCAAGTACAAAAACGAATCATGTCAGCCAGCCCACAATTACACACATTCCAGAATTTCTCGCTCTAAGCTTACAGAGAAGGGAGAGAGAGAAAACGAAGAGGGGAGAGAGGGGGAGAGAGAGAGTTTGTAACGAAACAAATGGACTTCTCCGAACAAGAGGTAGATTTATTCGGAGAAGAGTACGACAACGACGACGATCAAAATAAAGAGAACAACGAAGAACAGAGTCACCAATCATCTTCCTCTGCATCCTCTTCCTCCTCCTCTTCCTCATCATCTTCGTCTAATCGTAGCGGCGGCGGAGAGAGCAGTAGCGGCGGCAGTGGCAGTGGCAGTGGCAGCGGAAGTGGTAGCGGCAGCAGCAGCGGTGCAGAGGAGGAAGAACAAGATAACGGGGAAGTGAGGTCTAATTACTATCGTGAGGAAGATGATAAAGATCTGTTTGGGTCCGATAACGAAGAATACTGTAAAACCCCTGCGACTAGTCCTTATCTAGTGCCCGGTAAATTTATCTTTTTTTCTTGATGGTTGTATTGAATTCTGGTTTTCTGATGGGGATTGATATTTCTGTTTTTTTGCCTAATTCTTCTAGTGGGTTTGCTTTAGCAGTTCCTGATAGGTTAATAATGGGATTTGAAGCATACCCTTTTTGTTTTTTGCAATATCTTATAGTGGGTATTTGCTCATGGAGTTCCTGATCGGTAAATACTGGGTTTTGACACATACCCACCTTGTTTTTATTATATGTCTCCTTTTCTTCTTGGTTGAATTTATGTCTACTCATGGCTCGTGATAGAGCAGAATGGCAGAGAATTAGTTATTTGGCAGTTTTTGTATGGTTGGGGAGATAGTTGGAGAGATTACTTTGAGCTGTTTGTTGGTTTAATTTGAGTTTAACAGTGGCTCTTCTAAACTTATTTTGTAAAACAAAAGTAACTATCACTTGATTATTCATATGTTTAAGTTGCTTGGTTGGAGTTAAATTAAGGGCCAATGGAATGAATATAAAGAGTAAATACTATTGAGTTCCAAAACCTCCCTACAACCAACCAAACAAGAAAATGAGAGAAGAAGAAAGCAACTTTTTTTTTTTTCCTTTTCCCAAATACGATTTTTAAGGGTATTCTTGTTAACATTGGCATTGCGATCAACAATGGGATGATTACTAGATATGTTGTTGCTCTGAAGTACAACAGTGTAAGACAAGATCTTTCAGTGTTTGATTCAGTATATATAACTATCTAATTCTTGAACATGTGTATTTTATATTTGTTCTTGCAAAATAGTCTTAAATGTTATGTCATCTTGGTACCTTGGAAACTTTGAATCTATCACAAGAAATATTGGTTAGGGAACTGTTTTCTCCCCCTTCCCCCATCCCCCTTTCCCCAAATGTCACTTGCCTCACTCTTCAAATTTTTTTATTTTTTATTTTGACAGTTTTGCCTCCAATACGTAATACGAACAACCACACTAGAGGGGGTTTTGGGCGTGGTCGTTGGCAAAACGATAGAGGAGCTGGCATCCTTGGTCGACCTGGACCTTATCCTCAAAGGCAAAACTTTGGGTATGGTTCAAAGTTTTTTAATGGTCGTCAGGATGAACGATTTGTTTCTGAACTAAGGCTTACAAAGAGTGAAGAGACATTAGCAAGAAAATGTATAACAATCCAGGAGGTAAGAATGTTTTTCTTTTCTTTTTTATTTATTTCTTTTTTCTTTCAAGTATTCTCAATGTTGCTCTACCAATGAAATGTGTACAATGTTACAATACCTTGGTTCATTATCTCTCTTTTGGTAGGTCCCACATATGTTATTTAATTGGAAATTTTTTGCTGTTTTGCTACCTTGTTCATTGTAATGGTTAAGAGAAAGTGATAATAAAAAGGAATACAACAAGTGATGGTTCAAAGAGTACGTAGATTGGATCGTTTAAATTTTTGACTGGTTTATTTTGGTCCTGATGATTTAGTTGGGTGTGACTAAAATGCACCAATCCACCACCTTGAATGTGTCAGCATGTTGGTCAATAATCCTTTCGGACTGCCAGATGAGCACATATAAATATTCTTTGTTATTTTTCCATTACAAAATTTTGTTTTGTGTAATACATCTATTTGGCATGTGATGCAGCCATCTGAGCTTGCTTGTTATAGTCGTGGGGAAGATGGAGATGTCTCCTTCAATGATAGTAGCTTGGTAAGCCTTTCAGAGATTTATTCTGCTTTAGAATTTTCTGTTTCATCTCTTCATAAGGTTTTTAAATCTAGATTAATGTTGTCCTGATTGTTAGCTCATCTGCATCATTCTTCATAATGTTAGAGGCTTTTTAAGCGTCTTATCACTGAAGATGTTGGAGCAGACTTGAATGAAGGTTTTGATACTTTTATTCCAAAAAAAGGTATGCCTTGTGATTAAAAATGCTACAACAGTGAAATATATTACTTAAGCAAGTATGCCTACTATTACAGTTTAGTTTTTTTTATGGTTTATGTGTATGATTACTGAAGAGAGTCAATGCTGTGTTTTTTCTCCACAACAGATTTGGGCTCTCAGGGTTTCGGCGACCTTCTCGCTTGCATCAGAGACAAAAATATACCACTTCAAAATATTCACTTCGTTGTAAGATTTGTGCTATATTTCTAGCCTTTTTGTGCATAAGGATATGCTTTTCATTTAAGGTTACTAACTTCAGGTTGTTCCTTCCCCCCCTTCTTTTTTCTCCTCCTTTGATATCCTTGTTTCTCTTGGCAGACATATCGTAACAACCTCAATAAGGTATGTGCTGATCCCTTTGAATGGCTCTACTTACTTGTAAAAAAAAAAATTCTCATGATTAAGTGGACATCTACTTGTTTCATCTTCTCAATCAAATTCCAATGAAGTTCATTGGAGTCTGGCAAATTCTTTTTTCCTTAATGACTTATGATTGAACGATTCAACCTGTGAACCACTTCTGTTTTTGGGATATCTAGTTTTGCACATCTGAAAATAATGTAATAATTTTATCAACTGGTGTTGCTAGCCTCATGGACCAGATAGTTCATCCAAGTGTTAAATTTATGAGCATTTTGATTCTGTGAATCACTGATAAAGTGATAATTACAATTTGACTGCTCTTGTTTATCTGCAGATATTGCAAACTGCCTATATCAAGCACGAACCTTGGGAAATGGGGGTGCATAAAAGGAATGGAGTAGTCTATCTTGATGTGCATAAACTACCAGAAAGGCCACAGAGTGAGTTAGAACGTCGAAGGTACTAAACTATATCTATCCTCTAGTTTTGATTCTTTTGAAAAATAGTGCTGCCTAGTTTCTGTTAGAACATTGAAGGTACTAAACTATATCTATCCTCTAGTTTTGAAAAATAGTGCTGCCTTAGTTCAAAAGGAAATGGAAAGATATCAAAGACGTAAAATATATGTTGCAGTGTTCCTAGATGCAATTTGCAAAGGAAAGCCTAGTAATCTATTTTATCAGCATAACATGATAGGCATAGATGTTTTGTTTTGTTAGGCAGGATTTGAATGGATTTCCTAATTCACAGTGAGGAATTTTAATTTATCTATAGGGATAAGAAAAATAAGCAAATTACAGTTTGCTCACTGCAGCTATCGAACACCAAAAATCCTTCACTGGGAAGGCCTTACTAGGAAAAACTACATTAAAAGTAATTTAAAAGATATATATATTTATAACTTATCAAAAAAAAAAAAAAAAAGATATATATATTGTTTTCTTTTTCCTAAAATTAAATAAAGAAGCTGTTTCACTCATGAATTAGTTGCTGACAATATCTCTGAAGTCATTTAACTATATCTTTTTTCCTTTTTTAGAAATGCGATGCTATTGGAATCATATTTGGAAAGTTATGATGATGATTATGATATCTAACAGCCAGTTATAGCATGAGAATTTCTCCTTGTATCTTGAATTCCATATTTGAGAGAGATTTAATTTATGACTTAAGGAGAAGTGCTTTATTATTGATTGGTTAAAACAAGATTAGAGAGGATGATTGATGGAAAATACCCAAATGGTAAATTTTTGCTGTTAAATGCTGGACTTTTTCAGTCCTGTATGTTTTTCTACATATGAATTGTATTTTGATAAATACTTGAGCATTTCTAGAATTTTGGGGTTATTTATGGTGTTTGATATTTATGAATTTGATGTAAACAATACTTTGATTAATTATTTCGGTTTGATGATGTCATGATCATCATATCCTTTTTGTTGCCTTTCTCTCAGTCTTGTTTTGTTGAATTAGATGTTATTGGGGATACTGTTTTGAGAGCCTTGCCACTCTAGGAAGCGCTGATGGGGACCGGATACAACAAGTTGATGCCAACGTTGAATTCTGTTCTGTAATTAAAACTAAATTAGGGGCTCATCGTGTTTTGATGGGTGCCGAAATGGATTGCTGTGATTTAACTGACGATGGGAGGAAGTTTTATGTTGAGTTGAAGACAAGTCGCGAGGTTGGGATGCCTCCTGCTGGGCTACATCCTCCTTTTCATTCCCTAATTTTTTTTTTTTTTTTTTGACTTCTTATAATTTGCCTTCTATATATTTACAGTTGGATGCTCATACTGAGGAAAGATATGAGAGGGAAAAATTGCTCAAGTTTTGGGTACATTTCCCTTCCTATATGTCTATCATTTATTATTGTTAGTCTTGATCTGCAGTGTGTTGGCATTTATAAATGTGTCTCCTAATTAGTAATTGTTTCAAGATTGACGTGCAAAGTCTGCTTGATCTGGTTGTGGAATAAAAGAAAAGGTAGGGTCAAAAAGGAAAGACAGAAGAAGAAAAATGCACACAACAGATATCAACTAAAATGTGACTTATCCTGCAACTGATTGAATTTTATAAATACCAAATGCTTCGTGTTTTGCGAAGATTTTCTTTTTGAAATAAATAAGAGTTTGTTTCATTTATTGTTTGGCAAACAAAACTGTCAGGGAATCGTCATTTCAGATCCTATTCAAGACGTGTGCTTATGTTTTTAGATTTTTTTTTATCTATATAATCCCTAATTATTAGGACCCAGCGGCACCAATTGTGTTGCTTTCCTACTTTTGTTTTTTTTTTTTAAATAAAAAAAAAAATGGAGTGTATGCGTGTGTGTTTGGCATTGTACTCGGGGCATAACTACTGTGCAGTCATTTTGAAATATCCATATGATAGAGGAAAATATGTGGAAAGCATCACGGATTTTCTAGTGATCTCCCATGCTCATGTCATCTCATCTTTGCATTGGTACTTTATGCACTTTGAGTAGCCTTGTTGCGTGGTTTAGTTCTCCTTTTCCATGTAACAATATTGACCTTAGATGAAAATCTATGTTAAAGATGATATTATTTTCCCTGCTAGACATAAAATTCATTTGTCCAAATTGCTCAATTTATATTGGTTTATTTGGAAAGTACAAAGTTGTGAAATTCAAGGGGTGTCTCTCTTTGTGGGGTGCAGTGTCTAAAGGGTTTTTATAGCTTATTGTCTGATATGATTAAGAATTTGTTAGGATGTTTAATATTTGTTTCGCTTCATGATTGGTATCCATCTCTTTTTGTTGTATGATTTACAGATTCGTATTCTAGGTTCTGTAAGTAGCAGAATTCTTTATGTTTTTCCGTAAACCAGTAGAGTTACATGCTTACATAAGTTAAATTTATGTGATTGTGGTACCATTTATGTGCTTCCTCTTCCCAATTATTGTTCCATTAAGCTTTTTCAGTTTCCAAAAGGACCAACTTCCAGCCCTCTCTTAAGCCCCCACCTTATTGCAGTACCCTTCAGACTGCCCTGTAGATCCGTAGTAGTTCTTGCACCTTTACTAAAGAGTTCATCTCCCATTCTCCGGAAATACACAGTCAGTAGGGGAAATAATAGTGAAAGATTACACTACCTTTTGATTACTTGCATGCAATATTATCTTTTAAGCTACCTATTTTAGTTGCAACATCAATATGTTTAGCTTCCGTTTGAGAGTAATGTTATTTTGCTTATTATATATTTTGAGGTAGCGATTGCCATTTTTTTTTATTAAAAAAAAAAAAAAAAAAAAAAAAAAAGGAGTGATGTAATTGACCACGTTCTTAAAAGTAAGATTGGTTCAACATGGAGGAACCTAAAGCCGTACTGAACTATAGTGTGTTGAGCATTTAATGTTAGTGTCTCCATGCCATCTCCTACCACTGCAACCAAAAAAGGAAGTTGAGAATTCATTGATTTGAATTAAGTAATACTTTAAACTCAACGCTGTCCACACGGGACACTTCATTTCCTTCTCTTTTATGTCTCTTAACAGATTTTGAATTACTACCACACAGCTAAGTTGCTTTTTAACATGTTTTATCAATCATTTTCAACTTATAATGGTATGTTTAATTAGACCAGCCATACTTTATGGCACAGAATGTTGGGCAACTAGAAAACAACATATGCATAAAGTGAGTGTAGCTGAAATGCAAATGTTTAGATGGATTTGAGGTAAGACTAGAAAGGAGAGAATTAGAAATGACCACATTAAGGAGATGTTTGGAGACTTAGAGTAGCACAAATTGGAGATAAAATGAGAAAAATCGGTTAAGATGGTTTGGACATATTCGAAGAAGACAATCACATTGAGGGGAAGAGGAAGACCAAAGTTAACATGGTTATAGTTAGTAAAGAAGGATATGATAGCATGTGGTTTGACTGAGGCAATGGCATTAGACAGCGGAATAGAAACATAGGATTCATGTAGCCGATCCCAAGTAGTTGGGAAAAAGGTTTGTTGTTTTGTTTAGTTACGATGATATTTTTAATTACATCTATGACATGTGGATGTCTACAGAAAAATATATGCATTATGTAGGGATGATTTCACAACGTTCTCATTCGCACACTTTTGCTTGGACTTCAAAAGGTAGGTTAGAAAAGTATTAAGGCACAGTGGGGTTACTATGCCTATGAAAGTCTTAGTGCCCTTCATACTTGTGCACATTAAGATAATGTTACAATTGGCATGCTTCTTAGTGCATTATGCCACTTCTTCAAGCGTTCTCCTGCCTTTTGTAATTATTATGGGATTGTCAGTATTTCTACTTTTGCACTTCAGAATTTGTTGGGCAATTGGCGTTTTGTATTTAAAAATATTTATTTAAGCTGACTTTTATCAAAGGTTTGTTGTGTGAATGGAAATTTTTTTAATCATTTTATATCTTTGACCATTTTTTTGCAGATTCAGTCATTTCTAGCTGGCGTCCCTTATATTGTCATCGGATTTAGGTAAATCCTCTTTGCCATTTAATCAATTCTTCTTATTGGAAGGAATATATTTTAGCACCTCGAAGGCTTGAACACGACAGTCCTCTCTTCCTCCTGCCTTCCTACCCCCCCTCCTGTTTTTATTGTGACCCAAAGATGTCTTTAGAGACATATTGGTTAAGGCAGAGGAAAGATTGGATTGCAAATTTATTACATGACTATTGGAGAAGGAAATAAAATTTGGTTTTAAGTCTGGTGGTATTTTTGGAATGATAATTGAAACATTCCTGACCAAATTTATGCACCGTGTTGCCGTGATGCAGAGATGATGGAGGACGACTTGTCCGCACGGAGAGATTAAGAACCAAAGATATAACACATAGAGTAAAACTGAAGAATTATTGGCAGGTACATCATGTTTGTTACAACATTTGTGCAAAACAGAACCTTTGTTTGATTTCTCAGTTGTATTCATAGAGGTGGCATGCTGATGTTGTCACCTAAGTGGTGGGGCTATATGTCCATGTTGTCCTCTACTATTGACACAATATCATTAATTTGCCTGTTCTGTCTGTGTGAAATGGTGAGGTTGCCCTGTCATACTGTATTACACATAATTTGCCTTCATCTGTGTATCACACACGTAAAACCGTCAGCGTCAACTGTCCTGGATACTGAAAGTATAGAATGAATTAATTTGAATGCTCCTATTCACCGTGGGTGCTGAGAGGGTGAGACTGTAGACTAACTAATCAATTCAAATGCTCCTCTTTATGAAAAGAGAAAACTAATGCTCTAAGTAATTTAGATGATTATGTGATATGATAATCTTCTAATAATCTGTAGACATTTAGACTTGCCACATACACGACACTCACTGTCTGGAATATGATAGCATAATGCAGTCAGCGGCTTGCAAGTTGGCTTCACTCAACATATTTCGTGGTTCTAATGGATATTTTGTCCTGACCCTTTACAGGGAGGAGTGTGCCTGGCATTTGCTGATGAGGTACTATGCTGGCTCTACGGGACTGTCAAAGAGAGTGAGATCCTAACCTTCTCTACTCTGTTCGGTTTATGAGGATTTAGATGGAAAGAGAGAAATTCTAGAATATTGCAAGTCGCAACTGCTCTTCCCGAGTAGTTGAAAGATTTAGACTTATCGTCTCTTTCTGTTATCAAACAAACACTAATGCTCTCGGATAATTAACCTGTTTCGAATTGTGTGGCACAGATGAAGACTACATATTGCAGTTCGCACCACCTTTCACCCGTTTGGAGCTTTTGCAAGCACAATCTTGCCCAGATGCGATTACCAATCATGTTGAACAATTATGAGGAAACCCGACTAATTATATTATATAAATATTTGATTAAAAGAGGGAAGAAAAAAAAAGAGGCATGGGAATATTTAAAATTTTATGTTAGATTTTATGGAATTGAATGTAATTTTTGTTGTATTTTTCTAGATAAAAAACATGCTCCAATTAGATTGCAAGTACTGTGAGTTACCTGCATGGCTTTGTTAAGATCAACATAGCCTTGTTTTATCAATTTTTACAGAGGTGGCCCAGTAAATGTAAAATTTTTGTTCACTGAACTCGTTATTGAAAAGGAAAAAATATATGATTTTTTAGTGATAGATATATTTACTTTGTTTACTATGACCATGCATATTTACTTTTTGAGTGTCAAGGAGCGTTCTCTAACAAAGCTTTAATCTGATCTCCATTTTTTTTACTTGTTATCCGATATTTGTTGGATTATATACTAGGAAACTATGCAACATTTAATTCTGTTCCTACTGCATTGGGGACACAAAAAGGCTTCACATTTCAGTTCCAAAGAATGCCGTGGTTTGGAACACTTTTAGAATACAGTAATTTTGTAATTATTTTTATTAGAAGAATGTAATTTTAATACAATTTTAAAATCTATTACAGATCAATTATAAAAAGAATATAAAATTTAAAAAATTAAAAACAACAAATATCTTGATCTAACTCCAAATTAGTGATGATAACAAATGATAATATCCAATATATATATTTATGTATTATCATGTCCATGTCAAGCAGCTAGCTTTAAAGTAACATATCATCATGTCAAAACAAAAACATATAAATTAGGTATAGTCCTCTATATAGTTTATCGAATAAACAGAGGGAGTGGTAAATATTGTCCTCTCTATATAGTTCATCGAATAAACAGTCACTGAATAAATAAAAAAACTAAAAGACCAGTGAGATTTGCTCAACATACATGGTAAGAAAACAGTTGAGATTTAGAATAAAGTTGAATTGGTGATCAAGTATCAGTTACAAGATGGCATGTCAATAGAGTCACAATAAAACTGCCAGTCCTCCAAGCCATGGCATTTCAATATGCTCAGCTCAGATCACGGTAAAAAATTATATTCAGAATTTTAAATTGTTTTTACCCGTTGACAATTTAAAATTCTTATAGTGTTGGATTCAGTATGTTTATCTATTTAATTCATGAACATTGTCTTGTATTTGTTCTTGCAAATTAGTCTTAGATGTTGTGTCATTTTTGTTCCTTGAAACTTTCTGTCTAGCTCATCACAATAAGAGCTTTGCTAGCAATAGTCGACACCATCAGTGGCCTATTTTGATTGGCTAGAATCAGTCTACGTGAGCATGCTCACATGGGGCCAATTTTTTTTTTTCTTTTTAATTCTCTTGTTTTACGACACACACACCTTGAAAAGAGAATTTTGACTTACTGAACCGATTTTTGCGTTTTCTCCATTCCTTTAACTGGTCATTGAACTTTCTTATTAGTTAGGGAACTATTTTCTCCCCCTATGAGGCAAATAATTTATGGTGACTTGGTATCTAGTCAGATTAATGTAGTCAAGTGTCTAGTGAAAGTAGTAATTATGGTGTGGTAATCCAAAACTGTCCCTGGAATGGTAAAAGTCGTTCTTTAATGTTTTGTGGTATTTTGAAAGTCATTCAAGAGAAAGTAAGGGTCAATAGTAGTCTACCAAACCAAGTCTCAAATCAGTATTGTTTTGAAATATTATCAGTCAGTCCTCTATTTTGCTTTAGAAATCTAGGCTCCGACTTTGATTAGAGTAACCCTATTTTTTTACTGCTGTAAGAAGACTTCTGTTTTATTATTTCTGTTTGCTTCGCCCTTTTCCCAAATGTTACTTGCCTAACTCTTCAAATTTTGTTTGACAGTTTTGCCTCCAATACGTAATATGAACAACCAAACTAGAGGGGGTTTTGGACGTGGCCGTTGGCAAAATGATAGAGGAACTGGACCTTTTCCTCGACCTGGACCTTTTCCTCAAAGGCAAAACTATGGATATAATTCAAAGTTTTTCAATGGCCGTCGGGATGAACGATTTGTTTCTGAACTAAGGCTTTCAAAGAGTGAAGAGACATTAGCAAGAAAATGTATAACAATCCAGGAGGTAATAATGTTTTTCTTTTCTTAATTTGTTCTTCATGTTCCTTTTTATTTATTTTTATTTTTTTAATTTTCAAATATTTTCAATGTTACAATACCATGCATGTTTCATTATTTATCATTTGGATACGTCCCACATATATTATCATGAATATATAATTGGAATAGTTTTTGCTGTTTTGCTACATTATTCATTACAAGATATAGAAAACATTGAAGACATTTTTATTTTTTTAATTTTCAAATATTTTCAATGCTGCTCTACCAATGAAATCTTTACATGCAGCATCATGAATATATAAATGGAATATTTTTGCTGTTTTGCTCCATTATTCATTACAGATTATTTTATTGGTTTTGTGTAATACATGTATTTGGCATGTGATGCAGCCATCTGAACTTGCATGTTATAGTCGTGGAGGAGATGGAGATGTTTACTTTGATGATCTCAACTTGGTAATCCTTTCGTACATTTATTTTATATGTGTCATTCTTCATAATGTTAGAGGCTTTTTAAGCGTCTCGTCACTGAAGATGTTGGAGCAGACTTGAACTGAAGGTCTTGATACTCTTATTCAGAAAAAAGGTATGCCTTAGCGATTAAAAATGCTACGACAAATGAATTATATTAATCAAGCATTCATACTGTTAGAGGTCAATGTTCTGTTTTTTTCTCCACAACAGATTGGGGCTCTCAGGGTTTTGGCGACCTTATATCTTGTATCAGAGACAAAAATATACCACTTCAAAATATTCACTTCGTGGTAAGATTTCTTCTTCTGCATAAAAAGAAAATCCCCTTCTGTGAACAATACATCATGTTCTGTCCATTTCGGAACAGGTCCTACTGTTCCACTGGAGAGGATTCGGGTCCTTGTTAATAAGGACGTGCTTTTGATTTAAGGTTACTAACTTAAGGTTGTTCCTTTCTCGGCAGACATATCGAAACAACCTCAATAAGGTACGTGCTGATCCCTTTGAATGACTTTAGTCATATCTACTTGTTTCATCTTCTCAATCAAATTCTGACGAAGTTCATTAGATTTTTGCAAATTCTTTTTTTCTTAATGACAATTTGATTGAGCGATTCAACCTGTTAATCACTTCTGTTTTTTGGTTTATGAGCCTTTTAATTGCTCTTGCTTATCTGCAGATATTGGCAACTGCCTATCTTAAAAGCGAACCTTGGGAAATGGGGGTGCATAAAAGGAATGGAGTTGTCTATCTTGGTGTGCATAAACTTCCAGAAAGGCTACAGAGTGAGTGAGTTCGACCGTCGAAGGTACTAAACTATATCTATACACTTGTTTTGAATAATAGTGTTGCCTAGTTTCTTACTTCAGAAGGAAATTTAATTTTTTACTTTATGGAGAAGTTCTATATTATTGCTTGGTTAAAACAAGATATTAGAGAGGATGATTGATGGGGAAATACTGAAATGGTAATTTTTTACTGTTGAATGCTCGACTCTTTTTGAGTCCTAATACATATGAATTGTATTTTGATAAATACTTGATTAAGTAATTATTTTGGTTTGATGCTGTCATGATCAACAAATGATTTTGTTACCTTTCTCAGACTTGTTTTGTTGAATCAGATGTTATTGGGGATACTGTTTTGAGAGCCTGGCCACTGTAGATGGAAAAAGAGCTGATGGGGACCGGAAACATCATGTTGATTCCAACGTTGAATTTTGTCCTGTAATTGAAACTAAATTAGGAGCTCATCGTATTTTGATGGGTGCAGAAATTGATTGCTGTGATTTAACCGACGATGGGAGGAAGTTTTATGTTATTGAAGACAAGTCGCGAGGTTGGCATGCTTTCTCATCTTCATCCTCCTTTTCATTCCTTAGTTTTAATCATCATTTTTTTTTTTTAACAGTTGCAGGCTCATACTGAGGAAAGATATGAAAGGGAAAAATTGCTAGGTCGATGCATGCTCATTTCCTACGAGTAGCTTTATGTTACTCACCCTTACGATACTGGGGCATATTTCAGGTACAGGATACAAGATTGGAGATTGCAATTGCTTGGGTTTATTTTATTTATGCATGGGGATGCATGCCGCATTGTTCCTCATTTCGATGTATTTGATATGTATGAGATGAGGCCGGCGTTCCGAAGAGTGTTTTAATGAGTAAAGATTGAATCTTTGAATGAAAATACCTCCGTAAGTTTTGGGTAAATTTTCCTTCCTATATGTCTTTCCTTAAATCATTTGTTATTCTTCATCTGCACTGTGTTGCCAATTATAAATGTGTCTCCTAATTAGTTATTGTTTCGAGATTGACATGCAAAGTCTACTTGATGTGGTTGTGGAATAAAGAGAAGGTATGGTTAGAAAGGAAAAGGCTGAAAATGAAAATTGCACATAACAGATATCAGCTGTGCTATGACTTATCGTGCAACTAATTGAATTATATAAATACCAAGGGAAGAGGAAGACCAACCGCCCATTCTTTACCAACTCTACCGACGTTAACTTTTTTTTTTGCAGATTCAGTCATATCTAGCTAGTGTCCCTTATATTGTCGTCGGATTTACGTAAAACCTATTTGCTATTTAATATATTCTTCTTCTTTCTTATTGGAAGGAAGGACTATATTTTAGCTCCATGAAGGCTTCAACACCTGACAGCCCCCTCTCCTGTTTTAATTGCGACTCAAATATGTCTTTAGAGACATTTATTATGGCAAATTAAGGATAGTATTGCAAATTTGTTACATTACTATTTGAGAAGGATTGGAATTGTAATTGAGACTTCTCTGACCTAATTTTATGCACAATGTTAATGTATGTTGCCCTGATGCAGATATTGGCAGGTACATGTCGTTTGTTGCAACATTTGTGCAAACCGAACCTTTGTTTGGTTTCTTAGTTGTTTTCTTAGTGGCTATATGTCCATGTTGTCGTCTATGTATTGACGCAATCTTGTTAATTCATCTGTTCTGTCTATGTGAAATGGTGTAGTTGCTGTGTCATAAAACCGACAACTTCAACTGTCCTAGTTTCCGAAAATATAAAATGAATTAATTTGAATGCAAATGAACGTTTATAAAAATAGAAAACTAATCCTCTTAGTAATATAAAATGATTATATGATATGATACTCTTCTAATGATCTGTGGACATTAAGGACGTGCCACATTTTCAAATGACACTGGCTGTCTGGTTTGTTAAGGTAAGATAATATAGTCAATGGCTTGCAATAATGGATATTTTGTCCCAACACTTTACAGGGAGGAGTGTGTCTGGCATTTGCTGATGACGTGCTAAGCTGGCTCTACGAGACCGTGAAAGAGAGAGAGATTCTAACCTTGTCAACTTTGTTGGGTTTATGAGGATTTAGAGGGAAATACAAGAATTTTTTTAAGATCATCAGAGCCTTGTTTTATCAATTTTTTGCAGTGATGGCCCAGCAGATGAAATTTTTTGTTCACTAAACTCCTTATTGAAAATGGAAAAATATATATATATTTGAGTTATATTTTTACTTTGTTAGCTCTGGTCGTGTTTGCATACACTTTTTGAGTGTTGAGGAGAATATACTTCTCTATCAAAGCTTTAATTTATTCAAGATTTCCCAAATCACTTTGTAACACTTTCAGAGTATATGAAGTACGAAAGCTGAGTGTTGTGATTTGGAACACTTTCAAAATTCGCTGAATTATTTTTTATTTATATAATAATGTGTTATGTTATTATTTTTTATGCATTCTTACTGTATTTTAATTTTATTTTTTTTGAGATTTATTGTTTCACCACGTCCGTATCCATGCTTCCTAGCTTTTTTAATCACTAAGTTGCAATGCCAAACATTTTCGTGACAAATCTTTGGTAAGTAATTTTTTTACTAGAAGGCAGAATCTGTTGATAAGAGAATCCTTAGGGAGTGGTAAATACTGTCTATATATGATAATTTGGTACATGTACAGAAATAACAATGAGATTATATATGACCCTGCCTCGTATAGATAACTTGGTATCTATAACAAAAACACATCCCAAGTTGGTCCAAAAGTGCAACATGAAGATTGTTTTTAGGTCGCTTTTCTTTCTTAAACTAAGTTGTAAGAAATATTGATAAATGACTCCAAGGTAAAGAGAGGGGGATATATATTTATGAATATATATTTTTTAAAATCAATCCAATAAAATTATTATGAAATTAATTTTGAATCATGTTACATAATTTAGCTGATTAAGCCAACATTATAAATCCACTACAATATGATTACTTAATATATTTTATATAATGTTCATAATATGATGTCATCTTTGTTCTCTATTTTTTTCTTCTTTTTTTTCATTTTCCTCTGCCTTCCTTCATTTTATGAATTGATTGGAAACACTAAAACATTAGTTAGCATGAAGCATATAATTAGTTTTACCAATCATAAGTCTCAATTAAACACCCAACAATATATTAATATAATTTCACAATATGTTTAATATATGCCTCAATTGAACATCCAACTTAATGGAAAATAAAACCAGAAAAGTTAAAGTCCACGTCATTTATGTCCTAGCTGGTCTCAACTCATTTATGGCCTCATACATCTCATCTTCACTAGCCAAGAGTAGTTTTGGCATTATATTTCTTTTAATTAATTGACTTTTGACTTTTTAACAGTTAATTAACAAAAAGGGGTGTTAGGGTAAAGTTAACCAAACCTTATGCAGGAGGTTTAGACATTTTTATCCACTAATTTAATCTTTGAGCAATATAAACAAACCTGAGGGGTGCCACAGCATTTAACCCTTTTTTTATAGTCGTATTGCACTTAACCCATTTTAATACCAGTTTCTATGCCCTTCATACTAGCATCCTTGTAACACATTTAAAAATTTATTTTAGTAACTCAATAACACTGCTTATTTAAAAAAAAAAAATGTAGTATTGCACTTTGCCTTCAATTTCTATAGGTTTTTTGTGTTTCAACATCTTATTGAAATATATACATTTAACTCGTGAATCTCGGCTTTTGATGGTTAATTTTATTGGAATTTTGTAGGCAAACTTGATTTTATTTATATTTTTGTTGGCGCTTGAGTTCATTTCTCATGCTGCATCTACTTTTTAGGACTTTGAAGATGAGTGTGCTCGTCTTTCAGTCTTTCATGGGCTTTGGGTTTAACACTTTAACACAGCTTTTTATACACGTAGAGTCTTTCCAGAGTCATGTACAGAAAATATATATATATATACATATATAATTATGAGCAAAGGGCACTTACTTAAAGTTCAGTATCTAAAATTTCCAGTTTTATCAAACAGCACCTTAATATTATGAGCAAAAGGGCACACAGATTACTTCCTTTAATTAATTAATAAAACATATTGTTGATCTGAATATATATATATAGCATAAATCACCCTTATATCAGCATACCATCTTATCGAAGCAAAAGAGTAAAATACTGTCCTCTATATATAAATAAACAGGTCTCAATACACACACACACACACACATATATATATAGTATATCAATGAGAACTGAAATAATTTGGTACATATTTGATAAGTGATGAAAGAGGAGGGGGAACCCTTAATCAGGAGGCCTCCAGGAATCAATATGCTCTCAATTTAGCTGAACATATTGGGAAGTGGTCTCACTGCCATGAAGGCATCTACCATCTGAAATAGAACAAAGGAGGATATTATAAATCACCCTTATATCAGCTTACCATCTTATCGAAGCAACAGAGTATAAATTGTCTTGACCACATGGGAAATAAGCTATATAAACAAACAATATAAAGTTTTATCTGGGAAACTCATAGTCTGTCATTTAACTGCATCAATGTCCAATAAAGGATCCTTTTTATTACATATCCAAAGCAATATAAAGGATTTTTATTAGTGTTAGTTATCCAAAGCTACATAAAGTAGTATTATCAGGGTATGCTCATATAAATAAAGGATGCTCAGATAAACTTTCAAAGCACAATAATAATGGTTCATAAAAGTTGGAAATTTTGATGTCAAACAATCACAAGTGTTTGAGGAAATATTAGTTAAAACAACAGTTTACCTAGTATGCTTGCCAGCACATGCAGACAGCAGTTATGTCCACCAAACCCAGACACAGAGAAGAAGAACGACAAACCACAGAGAGATAGGGTGGAAGAAAAATATTAATCCAGTAGGGACCGTCAATCCATCATGTGCAGACACTTCAGTACCGTAAATTCTGACCCACCACTAAAAGTCATTGTCACCATGGAGGCCTAGCTACATACCTTTTTTTTTTGGAAGGTGGGTCTGGCTACATACCTTGCCAAACTAAGCTTGGCATGATCATAATGACATCATATAAATTAATTTTTACAGGTAATACAGCAATGTCCTACTACAAGATACCAAGGATGCACTAGCTACATTTCTGTGGGTGAACAAAACATAACTCTTTTCCAAATAACCATATTTTTTGTTATATATCTAACCCTATTTTGCTTGAGAACAATATTACAGCAGGATACTTTGAGCACATTATCTGACACATTGACTACATCACAACCAAATTGGTCACGTCACATCTAAATTTGGCCAAACAGTCAACAGATTTTCTCATATTGTTGAAATTCATCATCATCGTCGTCATGTTTGCCTTGATCCCATATGAATGGGGTCGGCCACATGAATTCTCTCTCTCCAATCTTTCCTATTGCATGCCATTTCCCCTACTATAAATTGATCCAATTAAAAAGTTTACTCGAGGTAAAGCATCCAGGTCTAATTTCAGCTACTGAAAAAGGAGGATTCCTAAACTAATTTTAATAGCACACCTCCTAATTTAACTTGATTGACATGGAACTAGAATTATAAAAAGAATACAACCTTAATACTGATTAAAACAAATGTGTATATGAATAAAAAAACTCCCAATTCACCTCTTAATTAGTACTTCTACTTCCTTAGTATTCCTTCTAAATTAGATTTCTCGATATTGCCAGTTAGTTAGATATGAGCAAAAAAGTGCCAACCCAACCAAGTGGTGTTGGCCAAAATTGAGCATAAGTTAAGAACATCAGCCCAAAGAACTGGACACTGGTTGAGGCCGAGTACCCTTCAGCAAAGCTTGAGCTGGGAGAGTGGGTTGCTCTCCTTTTAAATGAACTTGGGACGTGTCACAACTAAACAATATGCAACTTAAAAGCATGGTACCGCAAATGCTTCCCAGGCTGGAAAGAATTAGTTGAAAAACAACTGCACTAACCATGGCAAGATGTTTTAAAGAAGATTATGTATATGCAAAATTAAAGATAAAAAATAAAACATCAAAACAAAAAGAGAAACTTTACAAGGTTGATAAGCAACCCAACAAAGTTGCATATTGAATCGAATTATGATCACCGTGCTGCAATTCCATATTAGACAGGATCATTTCTCCTCCGATAATAAAAAATAGTGTCTTGAAAGATTTTAACCAAAATGTCATTGCGTATAAAAGATCCAAACAATGATTTACATCCCAATAAATAATTCTCCTGTATTCTAGAATACAACTTCAGCTCCAATTTATGCATTTGGAGATAAAAGCTAAGAAGATTTGTTTTAGTATCTGTTTGCTAAACATAGTAAAGTTTGTACAATATTATCGGCAAGGGTATAGATTAAATATTATTCCAGGAACAAATTAAGAGGAATATTTTTCTACAGTGTACTATTTACAACAATGCCACTGAAAGATGTGAATTGAAATAAGTTGACACGTTAGATTACAGTAAAGCCCCAACTTTTATCATTATTCTTATCTTTTTCTAGGCTAAGTATGTGGGGATGGGGATGGAAAAGGTGCTCAAGCTCCTTTAGAAACTCGGTCCCACTCAATAGCTTCTAACCTTGAACAGAAATTCATAAAATAAAAATATTTTCAATGAAGTGTAGGGTCATGCAACTTATAATTCATGGTTCTGACAATCAAGCAACATTTGCAAATTCTGTGACAGGAAGCATCATTATCTAATCCTTTAACAATGTTTACCAATAAAAGCAACAATCTACTGAGGGATGCAGGTAACTTACCTCATCAGTCACGGAAGCCCGAGCCCTGCGATGTCTTTCCACAATTTCCGTCAAAACTTCAATAAGTCGTTTTTTTACGTCACCCGTTAACATACGTCCTGCACCATATTCCTGAAAGGGGGAAAAAAGGTGGGTTTGGGATCTTTAAGAAAGAAATCAAAGCAGCCGTCATTTGTGTGTGCAACAGAGTTTGGCATGCATGAAGAACTAAATGTAGAACAGTATATATTTTCACCAAAAGGAAAACATCAGCCCATTAAAGATGATTATCTCACCTTCCTTATATGTTCAAGTTCAGTATCATCTTCTAGGAAAAAACCAAGGTATTTAATTGGAATATCTACCTGAATAATGTTCAAGACAAAAAATAAAAAATAGAAAGAGATCAGTATGTATCCAGATTGCTTCCTAAATGACAGCAAGCACTGGTTGAGCAAAGATCATCCATTATCACGAGACATAAAAGTATACGTACTCTGGCACTCAGCACTTTCAATACACACACAAAGACAAGCAGAAGCGTAGGAAATTGCAAGCAATAAAAAGCTTTCTTGCCATTTTCCAATAATTTGAGTTCACAATACTAAGAGATGCACAGCACCATGACTTTGCAAAAAAAAAAAAATATCATTCTTCATCATAACATTACCAAACTGAAAGAATAAGAATATTAGTACCTCAAGATTTGCCCCATACTTTCTGTGATTCTCTATAGAATCTTGCCCACCAGAGAATGCATATCTGTTTATCTGTACATAATTGTAGTTAATAAAAACCATAACATAAGCATATTTGATCAATGTCTATTAAATTCCAACATGATGGACCTCATAACGTACAAGAAGTTCCAAAACAAACCTTGTTCTTAATGTCCTTCCCTGAATCAGTCACGTAAATTGCAGAATTTGGATCACTGGCAGACATTTTTCCTGTCTCACCCTGCAGACATCCATGCTCAGGGAAAGAAACAAGCTATAGTCTACATGAACAATCAAATGTGTACCAATATGAAAATAAGCAGAAATCTTGGACACGGCGGAAGATAGAAGCCATGTTTGAGAGCCAAAGTGATACTTTATAACAGTGATAAGAAACTCAATTTTTCATTTTACTACTTGAAAACATCATTCTTTATGGATATCAAGACACAGCTCATAGAAAAAGGATCTGCTATGCTCAATCGTTTATAGAGACGCATATAACATATCCATAAAGAAAACTTAAAATGGCTCTTATAACACCCTTGAGTTTCAAAAAATAAAATTCAACATTAAGAACTTTCCAATAAACAACCCCTGCAGTTTATGGCATAATTCATATAACACATATAACAAGAATTATGCAATATGCCAATGAAAACTGAACTGCTGAAGATCTATCTGTTTGCGGTAAATAGTTACAGGCTCGGTGGCACAGAAATTTTAAGCGAGAGTTTTTATGTTGGACTCAATGTTACACATAACACTCTTCTGTCACTCTAGGAAACCTGTTGTATATAACCCAAATATATGTCCAAAACTTTTTAAAGAGAAAAAAGAAAATGAATCCAACACTTGGCTGAAGCAGGTCAAGCATTCAACTATTAAAATATATATATATATTTATTAACTGAAGAACACAATAAGGGGGGATTAGTTAGTAGAAATACTGTTATCATTACTTCAACTTCATCTTCTAGGTTATCTGATGTTAATACAGAGAGAAGGATAATGTAGTCCACACAATATTCTCGTCCCATATCAAATAAGAATCTCTTTAGGGCAAAAGAATTAATAGAAATGTCCTTATAGTTTCTGTCTTACCCGTTTAGTATCCACATAGACATCCAGTATGGTAGTGTCTGTGACCAGTTGGTATCAGCACCACATAGAATTTTAACAATGTACCAGAAAAAGTCAAATATATAACAAAGCTCTAGACCAATGAGCCTTGAGGTCAATTACTATTTAGATATGGCGGGTTTTTAGTTGGTTTACATTTCAATCCTTATGGTCAGTGTTATTGTGCAACATTTTCTAGTATCAAACAAATTTGAGTAAAATAAATTTAAGATACAAAATTAAACATACTCAGCATTCAATTAGACATACGAACAACGTCGCCATATTCCATTTAAATACAATCCGTAACTTCTGTTTTGGTGCGTATACATAATTACATCATGTAAATAGATCATCTTGATGGGAACTTTGTTTCCCATGAGCAGCTAATGATTTATCTAAAGAATAGCAAATTTGTGATTTAGAAATTTACAATAAATGCCTTTTCTGTTTCACTTATTCCTAGGTTTTTTAAGTTCTTGGGTCATCAGACATAATTAAAACCTTCAAGTTTTACCATTGGGCTAATAGCCCAATGGTGTAACGTCCCTACCCTCAAAGAGGAGAGGAGGGGTTTGAGCCCCGGCATAGGCAATGTGTGTGTGAGTAACCTGATCCAAAATAAAATAAAAAATCAAGTTTCGATGAATATGACCAACCACCTTATGTTGAAGTCCTCAAGAATTTTTTCACTTCATTTGGAGACAACACCTTTACTAGAAGGGAAAATCTTCATTTGGAGATGACACCTTTAATAGATGGGAAAATAATCTTCCTCCATTTTATTAAGACGTGCAAATAAAGCAGTCAAAATGTCATGTGGCTAGTAACTGACAATGTCAGATGAAAGTTTTCACACAGTTACAAACTCACATCCCAACTCTAAGTCCTAAATAATAACCTAATTTAGAAATTTAATCAGATGATACTAAGACTCAGCTTTATAGTGATGCATGGCTGATCAAAGCCAAATATATGGAATATTTTAGGGCGGCATGCGACTCCATTTGTTGATTTCAGAACCAACGGACAAGTCTGATGGTTTATATCAATGACTGAATTTCAATGAAAGACATAAACACCATTAAGCCACATATTTGCAACAAATTTACATACACGTGTAAGCATGAACTAAAAGATAACAAGACCATGTGTGTGTGTGTGTGTGTGTATCCCAAATATAAATACCTTAAATGAAAGAATAAGCTCAAGAGCCATAGCTGCAATAGCAATTGGTGAAATGCTATATATATAAATGTGTGTGTATATATATATATTTCACATCATTAAAAGCATTGGAACCAACTTCAGCAGAATCATACAACCAAAACTATTTGTAAGAGCAGAAAGCCTTTGGGAATCAATTAAAAGATACCTGAAGGGCAGGAAAAAATGATGACTCAATTAACGCAGGCTTGTGATAACCTATTCGAGGAGCAACATCTCGTGTCATTCGAAAATAAGGATCCTGAGAAAATGAGCAAACTGAAGTTAAGACCATAAGAAAAAGGAAAAAGGGAAAAAAAAAAATAAATAAATAGAAATAAATAGACAAGAGTGAGATTTTAGTGTGGAGAAAGGGATCAAGGTAGAGTAAGGAGAACAATGAGAAGATCAAAAAACAAAAAAGAAACCAGGTACCCTGTGCAGATAGTCATCCCATGTCACAGAACGAATCAATCATTTGGATACAAATGGAAAGAAGTTACAATATTTTGATGAGCACAAAATAATACTAAAGCAAAGCGGTGATCAAATCATTATCGCTATTAAGCCTGACAACAAATATTGCCTCAAGATTCACTAGCAAATTTTGGCAATCTGAAAGAACTTGCAACAGTGACCCAAGTAACTGAGTAATTTAATTGAATGACTTCATGTTAATTAGTAAATTCGAACTTCCAATGAGAAAGGTAAATGTTTTGGTAAAGAGCAAGTAGATGTACATAGAAAGAGGATCTATTTCGCAATCTATCAAGTTTTGAACACTTATCATCTTCAAAGAGTTATTTTCTTATAGTTTAGTGATCAAAAGACTTGGATTGGATAAGACAGAATTATTTTCCCAGCCAAGTCAGTCAGACCAATAAATGGATGACCCAGTCTTTGGATCAATTTGGTCAACCATGACAGGTTGAGCTTGAAAACCGCTGAAACCAAAATGGCCCACATGGGTTTCAAGCAGAATGTTCCACCTGTGATGCAACTTAGATTATTATGATTAGAGTTAATTTCAGTATGGTCAATGGTGACATTTTCTAACTTCATTTTTATAAGTGTTGCATCTACAACTATCACTTCTGGGGGGCAACCACATCCATTAAAGTGGTCACATACAATGCATATACAGCATAAGTGAAGTGAATGGCACATAGGATTTTAAGAGATAATTATACATGCGCAAGGAAACTAAGTGCTAGGATACAAAGCTCTGTAGCCTGTAGGGGTATTCTATATATGCCTAGTTATAACGCTTCATACAAGTTGATGGATAATGGAAGAATCCTCGGTGACTGCCCCCCTCCTCTTCTCTCTATCCTCTTCTATACTCTGGCTCTTCTAGGCCTCTCCCCTCTCTCTTTGTTATTGCTCTCTACTTCTATTTCCTATTCGTGTTACCTTCTTCACTACACCTTCTTGTTCCACCCATGGCTATGTGAACTTAGAAAGTGTCATGGACTACTTGTGCATTTCACACCTTATGGACGCTAGCGTTGCCCCTATAGTGACCAGCCCTTTTGATTGTTTTCCTTAGTATCCTTATTGTTAACTTTAATCTTTCCTACTCTTCTTTTACCCGTAGCTAATAATTTCCTTTATGCATAGAGGGCTTATTCCCATGGTTTATATACTTTCAATATACAAAATGGGCTTTTTTGCAAGTTCTTAGTTTATAGAATTTTGAATATGGAAATAATTTGAGTGCATAACTGCATTTTCTAGCTGTTCTAATTATGCTAGCATGCTTAGTTCTGGTAACATGTATAATGGTCTTATTTTACTATCAATGCAACATTGCAACTGCATGACAAAAAGAAAGTAATTTTAAAATTGGCATTAACATTTCTAAAAATTTACCATACACAAGCACTTCCATTCTATATCCAAATATTTTGCCGAAGCTTATATCCAGTTACTAATGGCGAATTAATCCATATTTGAATGCAATATTATAGTAATCTAGAAAGACCATCCAAAAATTAAGTTTGTTAATAATTAATATATAAAAAGCCCCATATTTATTATTAATTAAGCACTTTTGATATGTTCATTAAGCAAGCATATGACCAAAAGTCTAATTATAATGGATAAAACGTCTGGATGATAGGAAGAATTAACCTGATCAATTGCGCATGGAATCAAGCAGCGGAGATTATCTTTGCCAGAAAAGAGATGTGGAAATGAACTGGGAAAGGATGGAACAGCCTGCAGTTATGAAATTTAGACTATTGAGACAAAACCATGCATTATAATCATAACAAGAAATATACTATCTAGACTGTTTTTATTGCTTCCATCCATAATCATAACAAGAAATATACTATTGAGACAAAACCATGCATTATAATCATAACAAGAAATATACTATCTAGACTGTTTTTATTGCTTCCATCCATATATTATGTCTTGTGGTAGAATCCAAGCTATACAACCCAGGGGCGGGGGGAATCGTTCATTAGATATCACCAAAGCATTGTTAATGCAATCATTTTGTCACAAGAAACAACATTTTACAAATAAAAAGGAGAAAAGGAGGAAGATGGACACTCTAAAGCAAAGCAAAATTACAAATAACTTTTAATAGTTCTTTCTAGATGTTTTTTTTTTATATATAAATAATAGTTCTTTCTAGACCTAACGATAGATGATAAGAAAAATTCTAATCCAATACAAATCAGAACATCCAAACAACATCGCACAATGGATGTAATCATACCTGAACAGGCGGAAAACTTATCTTCCCTATATGGTCTTCACCAGTAAAGCCAAAAATACCAACAACCTGCATGGAAGCAATGAACCTTACAACCAGTTTGAAAGCTTAGATTAAATAATATGCATAAAAGAAATTATAAAACAAGGAAATGGAAAGAAGAATCTCATTCATCATTCTTTCTGAAGATTTTCACTACGAACCAATCACCTTATTGTAGGTCACACATTTCGCAACCTTCACCATGTTCTTGTAAAAGGTACTGCACAGAAAATTCTGACATAAGAGAAGTAGGGGAGCAGAATAAGCCAACACTGCCTCTGAACTATGCATGACAAAACTGTTTCTCACACAGTTCTGAAAACTAACTTGAACTTCAAAGAGACTGTTTGTAGCAAAAAGGAGGAGGAGAAAATACACTAACCTAATTTCCTTTTACATTGGACAGTTAAACTATAGTTGCCCTTACAGATTCATTGGCCTTTTACATGTCAGAAACTGTTTTAAAAGACCTTATTCCTTGTAATTAGATTATCAGCAGTGAGGATTTTTCCTAGTGCTACTGACCAATTTAAAAGGCAACTATAGATGACATCTATGCATGCCATAGACACTTACATAGAAACTGATGCCATGTGCACAAAGTGTTGCAAATAACAACCATTTGAAATTGATGGAAAATGTAGTGATAAAATCAATTTCAACGTGGCTGAGAAATAATAGATATATAATTCACAGAATTTTCAATGAAACTTAACAATTTAATTTTTGAAGACTGAGAGTCCGCATGCACAATACTTACCCGCCAACATAATCAAAATCTGAGAAAATAAAAGTTTTTGAGATGTCAAAACCACAGGCTATGATGTCTTTAGCATTTTCACGAGCAAGTCTCTGGCTCTCCTCCACAGATAGATTCTTCCACATGCACTTCTCATCGTCAGTAAGTTGTATAACAAGAGGGACCTTGAAAGCATCCTGCAAATATCTGTACACATTGCTTATAAGCTAAACAAGATAAACAACAATTTGTCAAGAAAGGAAAAAACAACACGAGACACCGCCGTACGGCTGTACACCCAAAACAATGAGATGATCACTTCCAATGCTTCATAGACCTTTTTTTATTTTTCATAAATATACCTTCATAGTAATAGTCTAACCCGTGAAGTAAGCCGACCTTGGAGTGTGTACATAATTTATCTAGAGATCCCAAATACAACCTAAATGGAGCACTCAACGGGACCAAATAAAATTAAAAAAAAAAACATACTATAAAAAGCTACAGCATAATTGTCTGGTTGGCATTTTTCTCGCATTGGAATAGTGAAAGATTTCTTAAATCCAGCAGTCAAAAAAAAAAATTTAGCGACAAAAAGAAGGGCGGGCCTCAACAAGGCCATATTGGCTTTGAAGAGAAGTTTGACCCACAACTAGATAGCACTTATGGAAATGTCATAACTTGAAGGCACCACTTCTGCTATAATATAAAGAACATGATATCCACCCATCCGCCACGCGACACAACAAAAAAAAAAAATTTGCAACAAACATACCAAGTTGCAGGAATAAAATCTGTCTTTTTAGTGCAATATATATAAGACATGTATTTCTAAGATGATACCTACTCTAATGCCGATACAATTCAATCCATGAACTATTTGTATGGGCAAACACACATTCAAAAAATAACCCTTGTTCTTTTCTCTCTCGCTTTTTTTTCCCTGATTTTTTTCTTCTCCCTCACAGTGGCTGAAGGCAAGTTATGAGAACTACACAGAACCGGAGGCACCTAAGTGTGCGTGAACGCCCATGTTTAAAAAGTAAAAAGGCTCCCTTTCACTCTCCCTAAAGCTTTTCAGTTCTTTACTATATATATTTTCATCTCAACTACCAAAATTTATTTTGCCAGCAGAACCCACTCAATAAGATTTTTTCTTCTTCCCATACACGAAAGTTGGATTTGGGATTGGAGGAAAGTTAGTACAAAGTTTTAACTAAATTTCTTCCAATTCCATATCCAAGCCACTGATTTGGTGATCCAAACATAGCATAACTTTTTTTTCGCTCTCTACATTGCCAATGATGAAAAATCTCTTAAACTCATAATATGAAAAGGAGAACGTAAACCAGCAACTTGAAAGACACAACAGATAATATATTGTAAAATTATGCAGGGTTAACAAAAACTCATATATGGAGTACATAATATATATATATATATATATATAAAGAAATTGGAGAGCTTACTTTGTGAACATGAAGGGAATGAGATGCCCCAAATGCAAAGCTTCAGAGGATGGTCCTCTTCCTGTATACAGATAAAACTTCTGTCCTCTCTCATACGCATCCAGAATTTCATTGAAATCCCTGTCAATTGACACATACATACATATATATATAATATCAAAACAAACAATTAATGGACTATAGAGAGAGTGTGTATGAGTGTGTACCGGTGAGCAAAGAAGACACCACGGCGGAGGAAGACGTGAGGAGGACGAGAAGTGAGGCGCTGGACTCTATCGACGAGGGATTGGTCGAGCCTTTGGCATCCAAACTTGTCGATGAGCTTGTCGTAGTCAATCTTCCCTCCGTCTTTGGCCGACACTTGCCATGGATTCACAACCTGTTCTTCTTCTACTACTACTTCTCCATCTTTTGCACTCATTTTCCACTCTCTCTCTCAGGGCCGGCCCTGAGATTCCATAGGCAAACTTTCAAATGTGAGGCCCTTAAGTTTCACACACGCAAAAAAAATTATAGGAATGCGGAATTTTCACACGATGTTTTCAAATTCTATAGCTAATATAATTGTACGCATGTGCATTGTGCATAAGACAACTAACTTTTTTTTTTTTTTTTTTTGATAAGTATGCATAAGACAACTAACTAATAACTATAATCTTCATTCATTAAATCTTCATGTTCATTGACTAACTTCCTATGATCTTCATTCATTAAATCTTCATGTTTATTGACATTTTCTTCATTTGCTTTCGCATTCATATGTTCTTCATTCACCAAATCGTCAGCTAAACTCTCTATTTGTGTATTGCTCCTAAACAACTTAAGAATATCTCCTTTTTGATATTGAATCAATTCTTCTTCTCTCTTCGTTTTTTTTTTTTACCCCTTTTTTCATGCCCATATTCAAATTTTCTTGTATACATAATGATATCTCTTGAAATCTAAATAACAGGAACCATAATCAACATAAAACTAGACTTCAAAATAATAATAATAATAATTTGCTTTGTTTAAAGAAAATATATATTACCTCAATATGCAATGATTTGATTCAAGTTCAAGGCAAATAACTTCGCGAGATCCTAAGAAGAGTGTCCTGCTAGCATGTGAAAGAAGATCACAATTAACATAAAACGGATGGAGAATCAAACAGAAACAATAATAACTAAGCATTGCCGATCATACAATAAATATAATTAAAAAAAAAAAAAATCTAAAATCAAGCAGTTTGGTCGAATGATCTCCTGGCTGGAGTTTTCACTGGAATCTGGAGGAGAGGAGAGGAGAGAAGACAAAACAGAGTATCCAAAATACAGTCCAAAAGTGGAAATGAGGAACAGAAAACTGCAGTTTCTTTTTTACATTCATTGTTTATATAGCTGCTAAAATTTGATGATTACAGATGACAAAAATATGTGGAGATGAGGTGACTATAGTCACTATATATATATAGGAGGCTGAACTTGTAGTGCTGAAGAAGTAGTGGGACTTTTAGGTTATATGTGGCATCCACTATCATATATAGTTGTCTTTCACTCTTTATATTAACTACACTTTGTATGTGTTTTTTTTGGGAGCCAATTACCCCTTTCTTGATTTCAGGATGAGGAATCAACTTTAGTAGCAGTGATTGATTGATCATTGCTACAGAAGACCTGTGCAAATTAATAGAAAAAACCATTAACTTTTGTTTTGTTAAAGCCTGCTCTTGATTTCCATATGTTTGTACATTCTGATGGCAAGTGCTTTGACAGTATTATTAACTGAAAGTCTAGCTGAGCCAACTTCAAATAACATCAATAATGGTGGTATGTATCTCCATATAAAAATAAAATATAAAAAAACCCTTAATTTGGCACTTTTAAGTATGAGCATAATTTAGATATCGAAAAACGGTTCAACCAACTAGAAGGGATCCTTAATTTTCGTAGGATTGAACGTGAAAATGCAAAAACTTATGAGGATAAGGGGTATGGTTGCTGCTGTTGTGAGATTGGAGTGCCTGCCATATATTATGGACTCGATCGCCATGAAAGACACATGTAGAAACTAGAAAGGCACGCATTTATCAAAATACTAAGAGAATCATAATATATTCATTCAGCTTTTGATAGCCATCACACACACAGAAAAAAAAAAAAAAAAAAAAAAAAAAAAAAAAAAAAAAAACCCTAGTTTGGAAGCTACTTATCACTATTGGAACAAAGGTAAAGGCCCGAATCAAACGAACCAAAGTTATAACAAATCAAATGATGAGATGAAAGAAAGAAATAAACATATATAAAAGATTGATTCATGTAAAAGGAGAGAGAAGAGAGAAAGAGGATGAACATACCTTGTCACTGAGGCGATAGCGGAGGCTGAGCCCTGCGTAGTGTCGAAGCAGATTGTGTCGTCTGAAACTTGCCCTGACGTTATTTTTTTTCCATCCCCTAGTCTCTCTAGCAACCTGTATTTTCCGGGCCAAAATTTTACGCGCTGCAGTTCCCTTTAAAAACAGCGGCGTCTCCTTGAAGAAGACGATGTGCAATAGAAAAAGGTCGTATTTTTAAGTTACGAAAATTACACTCTTCTCCTTCTGAAGTTTGAGAAAATTACATAAGCATCCTCTGTCATTTTAAAAATTACATTGACCTTCACAAAATTAACTTATAATATTTACTGACATGCTCTCAAATAAAATAGTAATACTAATACATATTAAATTATTTTACAATTCGGAAAGAGAATTAAAAAAAAATGGTACTCCTTATTATCTTTGCTTAACAAAGATAAGTATATCTTACCGATTATGGATTATTGTAAGTGACTGATAACAAAAATAAAAAAGATATCTGGAAAATTCAAAAGAAGAAGAAAAAATATTTAAAACTTTTCATTATACCATTAAATTTTTCCTTTCGGTAGAAATCATTGTTATCACACCTTATTTTCATAGGGTTGGGTGTAATTTTGTAAATCAAGAAAGAGTTATGTAATTTTGTAACTTCTGTTGAATTTTAGGAGAGATTGGCATAACATACACCCTTGACAAAATTATTACGGATTCATTTGACATGTAGTGGACTAATTTAATGAAAGTTTATGTTAATTTTTTTTTACAATATGTTATTACACTCTTGTGATGTCATTTTTTTAATTTAATTGGCTCGTCAAGTATCAATAGATTAAGACCATCTAATAATTTCTCCTTATTACTTAATTTAATAATTTCTCCTTGTTATGAATGTATGAAAAATTTTGCTTCCCTAAAATAAAAACAAACGAGATTAACTTTTTATTAATGGTTTAAGTTCAACTTGACTAAAACTTAGCTCCAACTTTAAATTCCTTTAATAAATAAATCGAGTTTTAGGCACATAAATTTCGCGACTCATGAATAAGGCTGGTTAATAAAGACTACGTGAATTTATAATTTTTCTCATTTAGTTGAGTTGACACACGCTCTAACATTGACTTCTCTCATTTAGTGGAGCTGACGCACGCTCTAACATTAAACCCTCCATTCTAATTTGTGAGTTGATAAAGTGATTATAAAAAAACAAAAGAATAAAATCGTGTTTGATGAATGGACTAAAAGAACAGACAAACTGAGATCAAGTTTGATGAGTAATTTTCCACCAATCTTGAACACATTTTTCATGGGCTCAAGCTTGGCCCTTGGGCTCAAGCTCAACTCGACCCAACCTTGTTTGGAGCCGTATTCCTTGCTTTTTTTTATAAAAAAAAAAAAAGGGGATAATTTCAGTGACACCCCCACTAATTTGGTCAAATATCAGTCTAAAATATCTTTCGAAAATAACTATTACTCACGTTACAAACGTTTGTTCCGTTTTTCACTCACACCCCAAAAGTTAGTTTGCAGGCATGTCAGGACACTTTTACATATAAAAAGACATTTTTACCCTTTGACTTTTGTTTGACCCTTGACTTTGGTATACCTTCATTTTTTTAATTTATTTTTTTACAAAATATCAGTATTAAAAGACAATATGGCCCCTTAAAAATTTGTAAATTTACAAATTATGTTATATACGCCGTTATCGGAATATGCCATTGCCCGGCTTCGCCTGATCTCGATTCCTCCCGCTGATCGATACATACAGAGATATATATATATATATGTCCTATATACACACACACACACACACACACACATATATACTCCTATATATACACACAGAGACATGTTCTATACACACATATACACATATATATATATACACTCCTATATATACACATAGAGACATATATATATACACACACACACACACACATAAGCACAACACCACCACCAATCGCCGTCAATCGCCGCAAAGAAGACCTCCAACACGCCTCGACTGCTCTCCTCAAGAAGATGTCGATCGGCGCGTATGGCGCAATTCCAGCGACGGGGTGTTGAGCTTGTATTTGCCATGGTTTGATGGTGTCGGCTATGAAGAAGGCGGCGGTGAGCTTGCGGCGATGCTCGGAACATTGACGACAGTGTGCTCGGTCGGCGGAGATGGCTGGTTCGGGACGGCATTGAATCAGCGACTAAAAAAGTCGTTATTCCGGTGATGGGCCTTGATTGGGTTTGATGGCGACCGGCGGGATTTAACGGCTGCGAGCTTAGCTTTGGATGATGGTGGCCGACGGTGGAGGGGATGGCTGTGGATCGGCTGGTCCTCACCGAATAGTTTACTCATCGTCGCCGTTGTCCGGTCCACTTCTCTTCGCCATCGCTGGAATTGGAAGTGGAAGGTCACAGATCGTCGCCGTGGTTTTGTGTGGCTTGGTTGATTTGTGATCAATTTTGTGGTTTTATGTAATACCCCGATAATTTTAAAGGATTTATTAATTAGGATTAATTATTTTATTTTATTTTTCAATGATTTATTTTATTTTATTGAGTGCTAGATTAATTATCTTATTTTAATTAAGTTATATTTCGTGATTATGTATGATGATTGATTGTTTGTGTGGTTGATTATTGATTGAATTATTGGTGTGTTGATTTTATTGGTATTGTGTGACTTAGTTGTAAATTCTTGTTTGTTTATGTGCTTCATGTAATTAGTTATTTTAATTTTAGTATTTAATTAATTATCTTATTTATTTAAATTAATTGGATTGGGTTTAAGGAAAGTTGGACCAAAAGATGTGGTCTTGGGTTTGTATGAAACCTTATTGGATTACTTAATGAAGGCCGGTGGTTATTTAATTATTTAAATGATCACTTTTGTATTAATTATAAATATATAAATATAATTAATTAATAATTGTTATGGAAAGATATATATATAGATATATATTTATTGATATTTATAAGTATATATGATTTAATTAACTAATGAGTTAATTATGGAAGGAATATATATTTATATATATATATGTTTATAGATATAAATTATTTAAAGATTATTATTTTAATTCATAATACTAGTTGGAATAGGATTTGGAATTTAAGGTGTATAAAAATACACATAAGGCTTTAGGGTTAGAGGTTTTACACGTTAGAAAAATAAAACAGACAGAGAGAGAGGAAGAGGAAGGGCTGACAAGGAGGAGGTCGGATCTGAAAAGGAGGACGTCGGAATTGGAAGAGATAATTAAAGCTTAAAGCGTCGGTTTCGTTTCGAATCCTTCAGGCGAGTTTTCTCTAACTTTCCTCTTAGAACTCATAAGGATTTCACCTTGAGTATCAAGGCTTTAATTAAATTTATTTGTTTAAAAATTATGGTTAGATCGGAATAATTAAAAAGTATAAACTATTATATTTGATTTTTAGATTATTGGATTTTAATTGATATATATAGGTGTTATGTATATTTTAAAATCAATCTATAGGTGGATTTGTGACCCAAGAGAGTTAATTATGGTTTCTTTATTTTCTAGAATTGTTCTGTAATTTTCTGGAATTTTTCGGATATTTTTAGGAATTTATTAGGATTTATTTTCCTATTATTTGTTAGGAAAAAAATTATATATATATATATATATATATATATATACTAGGTAACTGGCGCACGTGGAGCGGCGGCACAATAAAGAATTGATCCAGTGCGGCGCGGTGTAGGATAATAGGGTGTATACGCCAATTAGGGCCATTTGATTAATTAAACTTATGTGAATTGATATGGTGCATCGCGGCGCATAAAACTTTGGTGCGCATGTGTATCTGGACCATAGAAGTGGTCTGGTCAACTATGGGATTATTTGATGTATTGCAGACCATGAGAAGATGGTGCACTCGCTGATCTGGACCTTAGATCTATTATAGTTAATAGAAAATAATCTAGTGTGAGCGTGTTCACTTGCGCACTCATTTATGACCATTGGATGCGGCATAAAGGAAGTGATGGATTCAGTGTGGTGAGCTCACGGTAGCTGAAAGAGCTTAGCCAATACTAGCACACAAGGAGGCTTGAATCCAGCGCGTGCAAGTGCATAGTAAGCACGTGGGCGGGCGTGGGAAACTATGTTGGCCTAATTCGACACTAGAAATTAAAAAGGTCATAACTTAGTCATTTTAAATCGAAATTGGGTCATTCTTGAGCTCAAATTCAAGGATTTTTCGTCTTCTTTCCAATGGTACCAATTTCATTATCAGATTCCCATCCTACTAGGAGATATTTATGTTTTAGTGAGAAAGTGTCGGAAAACTATTTAAACCAATATGGAGTATTTAAAGGAAACTATTTCTGACATATTTAGTTGCACTAATTTGTGTAAATATAATAAATTAATAATTTATTATGGAAGGAAGTGTGTGTGTGTGTATATATATATAATTATTTATATGTGGGTATATATAGTTTAATTTGTCCATGAGTTGTATGGAAGGATGAATATATATATATATATATATATATATATATATGTATATATGTATGTATGTATGTGTATTGATTTTAAATAATCAAGGATTATTAAAGAAGGTGTTAAACACATATATACATTAAATAACATATGTGTAGGTATATATATATATAAATCATTTAAGATGATTAATATTATCATTCTTATTTGGCATATCTTAATAGGCTGGTTGTTAAATTAATGATATGCGTATAATATGCATGTGATGGCTATGTATGATTTAGCGTATTGTTAATTTTAAAGTTAATTCATGGTTAAAGTGTGGGCATGGATAAATTGTCAAATGATTAAATATATTACCTAAATATTTGTATGAATAGAATACATATATGGAAAGCATGGATGAATTGCTAATTAAATGTATGAATAAATATACCTGTGGAGGCATGGTTGAATTGCCAATGTATAAATATACATACACGGAGGCATGGTTGAATTGCCAATGTATAAATAAATATACTTATGGAGGCATGGTTGAATTGCCAATATATAAATAAAAATATTTACAATGGCATGGTTGATTTGCCAAAGTATAATTACGTTGTTATGTGTTAGATGATTAAAATATCATCTATGGTTGTTGTATGTATGGATTGGATTAGGGTTAGATATTCTTAAATGAGAATAGTTTAGTACTTACTGGTTAGTGTATTATTTTACATTAATAAAATAATATTGGGGAAGACGTGGATGATTTGTCAAAACTTGAATTTTGGATATGTGATTTAAAGAATTTAAATCATCATCGGGTTGGGATTAAATAGAGTATTTCTTTTATTATAATTTGTTGTTTAAATGATTAGACAACTGACTAGGATGGGATTAAGGTCAAAGGAGTTTTTATAAAATGAAATGGTAGATTGGTCTAGGTATGAATATTATTTTAATAATTATTTAATAGGTATGAAAATTTAATAAACCTATTAATGGATGTGATTAGTATAGTATATATAATTATATATAGACATGTATATCGTGCTTTATTAAAGTTAAAACTTTATTAGGTTTGGTTTTGATCAGAGATGATCTGCTTATTGGTTTTCAGAGGCCTGGTAGAGTGAACTTGCTCGTAGGGTTTAACCCACGATTTATTTTTCAGGTTATTAGAGGTTTCAGTCTCGAGGTTGAGGATCCGCAGCTGGGAGACTGTCATTCGTCTATTCATCTTGTGTACTTTTAAATAGTATTGGATTATTGGATAATGTTTAAGGGGTCCTTGAGTTATGGGATTTCCGAATTGTAATTGTTGGAGAATCATTAAGTAATATTTATTTATTAGTTTTCTTCAGCGGTTTATTTATTCTTTATTATTCATCTTTGTATTATGTGCTTGTTAAATACTTAAATTGTTTTGATGTCCCTTGATTTTGTGCGCGGACTTGATCAATCCGTGTTCCAAAATTATGGGGTATCACATTTTATTAGTGGATCTGCGTGTTTGGTGCAAAACCTCTAATTCATCTTCATCTCTGTCTCTCTCTGTCACACACACCGATATGAAAACAGAATAATCAATTACAGTGTTTGAGGACTGGATTGGAGGCACTTCTAATCAAAATTTTGTTTTGGTTATTCCAAAATTGGAAAATATATCATTTTCTCTAACACAACAAAAATGGGTTTGGGTTATGCAACCATAGTCGCCGGCGGCACCACCACCACCACCCCCATCATCGCCGACCACCAACCACCAACCACCAACCACCAATCTTTCTTTACACTTTCTCTTTCTCTTATGCAACACTCAACTTTTGGAACCACCACCCACGACCACCACGACAGCCAACAGCACCATCTACCCACTCATTCATTGTCAGGGGTATAATTGTCTTTTAACTAATATGATATTTTGAAATATATGTTATTAAAAAAATAAGGGCAAAGTTGTCTTTTCACATGTTTTTAACGGAGCCTGTGACGAACAAGCAAAAATCAAGATATTTTAGACTGATATTTGGTCAAATTTCGGGGTGTCATTAAAATTATCCCAAAAAAAAAATCAAAGAGGTAAAAATATAAAATTAAAATAAAAATAATAAAAAAAACCCACAAACCGACTACATCTGTCTCGGACTAGAACGGGAAACAGAATTGGGAGTGTGTGCGCGCAGTGAAGAACGAAGTTAGAGAGAGAGTAGAGAGAGAAAGATATGCTGGAGACAGGAGCAGTTCTGAGCGGCGAGGCCGTGGAATCCATATCGGAGAGACTGTCATCAGTCGAGAACCTCTACTTCCCTCGAGCACTCCAATCCTCCGCTATTAGTCCTTCTCAACGCAAATCCCTCCTTATCGATCTCCTCTCGCGAGACGTCGCTGTTTTCTTAGGTACTCTCTTTATCTCTCTCCATATAAACACATATTTACATACACAATCCCATATGTAATTATATATGTATGCATATACACTCATAATCTCTGATTTTTGGGATATATGCGTTCGTGTAGGTAAAATTGAAACCCCTCATTTTCTCTAACATCTTTGTAATGTTTAAATGAATGCATATGCCTTCGTGAATATACACATTATGTTGTAAAAAGCTTTCCATATCACAATTGACTATTGAAGGGCCTAAAGTATTTGATGTTTTTTGGAAGAGGATTAAGAAATTAATTGGTATTTAAATCATCCTGGAACTGTAAAAGTCCCCTTTTTCTAATTAAATTTGAAGGCACATATATGTAATACAGGTAGATAGATTGACAGAGAGTAGGAAAATGTCTCTCTCTTCTTTTTGTCTCTCTCTCTAACATCATTCTTAAATTTGTAGAAGGTTCCCGAATTTCTGATTCTGATTGCATTCTTCTATTTATGTTGTTTTATGAATTCAGAACGGTATGGATCACAATTGACAATTGAAGAGCTTAAAGTATTTGATGTTTTGAAAGATGATTATGAAATCAATTGGCATTTAAATCATCTTAGAAGTGTGATTAGTCCAACAACAGAGGAATTGAGATCTAGGTCAACAAAGATAAAAAATCGGAGACGGGCCTTTATGGATAAATTGATGTGTGATGGGCAGTACTTCTCAGAGGATGCGATGCGGGAGAGAGAGCCATACTTGCACCATGAGTATGTGGGGCAGTTTCAGGATCCTAGTGGTAGGAGCATGGCAAGGCCGGGGGAGCGGTGGTCGGAGACACTGATGAGGCGGTCAGAGGAGGTGATTTTGGTGGAGAAAATTAGAGGGGAGCAGCAGAGGTTGGGCGTGGCTGAGAGAGATTGGGTTGGGAGTGTGAATGAACATCAACAAGAGGAGGAGGAGGAGAAGGAGGAGGAGGAGGAGGAGGAAGAAGAAGAAGAAGGAGAAGAAGAAGAGGAAGAAGAAGAAGAGGAAGATGAAGAGCACATTGAGGCTAATGGGAGTTCACATCATTTGGAGGTAATTATTTTCGAACTAAAATTTTTTGTTTACATTGTTGAATTGATTGCTCCTCATTGTTTTTTTATTTGTAAATTTGTGTATATATTATTTTTATAGATTTATTTTGGCTTGGTTATTAGTATTTGTGATTATTGTGTTCCTCAGCAATATTTTTCTAGTAAGTGTGTTTAAGGGCAAGGTCATACTTGCTGTTCACCTGGAAGGCTGACTCTTTAAAAAAAAAATTGACTAATTTGGCTGAGTAGTGTTGTAGTTTGAGATATAAAACCTCTTATATTTGTATGACTCCAATTTAACAGTGACAGCAGCAATTCGAGATTTTTGTGAATTTCAATCTTGTTTTTCTTCTAAAGCGTTATTGAAACATAATGACATAAATGAGAAAGCCCATCTACTACTGCTCATTATTGTATTAGTTTTGAATATGTGAGTGAAGCCACTGATGATTGCTATTAGGATAAATTAGACAGACACCACCTTGAGGCTTGGCAATATTACAAGCATGTCAAGATTTAATTTGTTACAGAACACCCCCAACCATTTGGCGCATGTCTATGCCCTCTTCTTTCTTCAACAGTTTCATTAGAGTCCTAGCTTCTGATTGAATGCAGTTTGGTTCATCTGTAAACTGGAGGTCTTATTACTGTGTGTATTAGAGAGAAGAATTTCTGGTTTTCTATTAGGTTTCTATGAGATTCATAGGTTTTACAACCATGAAGAAGAGAATGGGGACAAGAAATGGAAGGCAGTTCTCTCCAGATTAACTTTGTTGTAGGTGCTCCATGGTGAACTAGCATGTGACTGCATAATTTGGGGTGGGGTGTTGCTGCATCACTTCTTGTTCTATCTGCTATTATGGATCCAATCAATACATTATAGAACATTAAGAGAAAGGGTACTTATTATGTCAATTCTTTGCTAGAAATCAAAATCCATTTGCGTTAGTGGTCAGTGCCACAGAAAATCAGCATGTATCATGATTTAACCGCCACAAACAAGTGATTGTAAAGTGCTGTACCTTCTCAGAATTCCTATAAATGTATGTGTTAGCCCCAAGGTTTCAACCCAAGGATATTTGGGTAATTTTGATGATAACAAACCATTAATGTGTGAATTTGATATTCCATTTGAGTGTGTCTCTCAGAATTTATCTTTAGAACTCAAAGATCATGGCAAAGCTTATCTACAAATGGAGAATATCATAAAGCTTCAAGCCAAGGATCAAAAGACATTGGAAACAAAGATGAAGAAATGGTTAGCATAGTTTTGGTGAGAGATAAACTTTGTGTAAAGAAATTTTTGGAGCAATTGTTTCATATCTCAAGGTCTATGACCTAGAAAGACTTTAGGACCATGAACTAAAATGGATCATATCATTTAGAGGTTCCTAAACATATTTACTTACCCTTTGAATTAATGAAATTCATCTTACAAGGGCACATAACTCACTTCATAAGCTGAAAGTCCCAGCTAAGCTTAGTTTAGATTTTATCTTTAAACCTGGTGACTTATAAACTGCTTCAAATGGTTTTGTAGCCGTCTAAAACTGAAATTCCAGTAGACTGGCGTCATTCTGAATCATAAGTTTAGCCGTCTACAAATGGTTTTGTAGCCGTCTACTTTGCAAAAACCAGTACATGTGTACTATGAGCTGAACTCTAAGTGACCTGCTACAAATGAAGATTTGACCTTCTAAAACAAGTTGCGGAAAAAGTGGATGTAGGAGTAGCCGTCTAAAACTCTATTATGGCCAGCTGCAAATACACAAAGATTCAAAATCTGACAGATCCAACTACCACATACCCGCGCAGTAAATGCTAAAACAGCTATATATCTGAGAGAGAAATAAATACATGTTCCCTTGAACATTAAACACACTGAAATACCACTTGAACATACTACCATGTGAAATCAATCGTTCTTGAGCATTTACTCCTTAGATCTTGAGCTTACTCACTTACTTCATTTATTAGGATTGTGAGCTTTATATTTGTGTATTCATCCATTGAGGGATGTCATTTATTGTACTCAAACTTGTATAACTACAATCATTGTAAAGAGGGGTTTGTGAAATCCAATAAGCCTAGGTGACGGAGTTCACTTAGCAAGAAAAGGAAGAGCCTGTGAATCTCATTTGTATAGGTTTGCTTTCCACCCTCAAGCAAAGCCCCATGGTGGATTTGGGAATCCTCAAGAGGTGCTCTTGAGGTGTGGACATTAGCGGGGAAGCTGAACCACGTAAACATCACGTGTTCATAGTGTTTTGCAATTTCTCTTCCCTTATCTCCTTTTTGTTGTGCATAGTTGATCTCATTGTCACCCTTATTTTCTTGCACAAAAAGATCTTTTAGTCAAAGAAATTTCCATTGTTTGCCATAAGACCCTATTCACCCCACCTCCTCCTCTAGGGTCAATACTTGGGCATCAGTATGTATGTTTGCATGTGGATATATATATATTCAAGTATAATAGTAGTCATCCGTGCGCTTTAGAATATTTTTGTAGGTTTATAGGTTTGTGTGTATAAGAAACAAGCAAGTGCATAATGAGGTGAGTCGTAATGATTCAACCATTGCCCGTATGTGACCAAATCTGTTTTGTTGTAACCATCATTCAATTATCAAGAACATCAACTTGAAAAATCATTATTAACGCCACGCCAAATAATTCAAAGGGATTCATCAAGATAATAATAATAATTATTATTATTATTATTATAAAATCAAAGGGCAATGGAAGCCTTTAGATTTGTCCACCCAGCATTGTGGAAGCAAGGTAGGGAAGGATAACTGACAATCCCATAAATTTCAGGTCAAAAGTGCAAGTAGCACCAAATGTAGAGAAATTAGAACACAGTGGTAACCATTTTGAAAGCTGACCACCCTACTTTAGGTCCATATAGGGATCTCTTGACATGAGAAATAAGGTCTCTCTCTCTCTCTCTCTCTCTCTCTCTCTCAATAAGGTTTCTCTGCTTTTATTGTGGTTACATCTTAATATGCAGAAGGTGGTAGTTTTCTGTGGTTTTTCTGAAAGCTCAATTCTCTCACACACTCCATCTAAGTCCTGTTTTCTTCATCACCCTAATATCTTTTACTACTATGTTAATATGAAAACTGAGTCTTATTTTCTTGAAACCTCTCTCTATAAAATGTGTGTGCATGTGAAGGGATGTGTGAGTTTGTTCGAAATTATATGGTGCTAGTTCATTCCTTTCAAATCAGTCACATTCCTTCATAGGAATTGTAGGATTTTTTTTTATGACAGCTATGATGTTGTTCTCACATGTAACATATATATATATATAAAGCCTCAGCACATGTCATATGCAAGATGCTAGGATACATTCTGTCGCAGGTGATTCCAAGTGGCTCCCATATGGGTTATATGCTATATCCGAAACAATAGTGTATACTGTATATTTGCATTTCCTCTTTGGAAATTATCACGTGTAGTACTTTTCACAAACAATTATCCCTCTTTGTAAAATGTCTTTCACAGGATCTGTCTTGTATCATTTAGACAGTTGTGTTGTATACAGAATTTGGAGTTTCAATTGTAATGTAATTAGCTGTTGTTCCTAATATTTTGTGATCTGTTATAACCTGATCAGGTGCACTTTGGTGATCTTGATGCCTTCAATAATGCCCAATCCACCAGTGTTATTCCCAGTGAAGGAACTACTTTACCTGAAGCAGAGATTCAAGACCGAATGGACCAATTCACCCACATCATGCAGCAAAAGTTTATGTCGGGGGAAGATCATCAGCACTTAGATTACTCAAAAATTGACGAGGACGAGACTTTAGATGATCACTGGTTGAGGGAGGCTAATCTTGATGCTGAAGAGAAATACTTCGCTGACGTTTAGGAAGAATGGATGTGGCACTGAGTTGCTGGTACCGTGTTTCTTTGACATTTCACTTTATCATGTTGGTAGAGTTCTACTTTTGTAATTATATGCACCTCCGTTTTTTTTTTTTTTTTTGGTTTATTGTAGATTACATGTGAGAAGCAGCCTTTGTGACATTGCTATTTTCATTCAGATGAGAAATTAGGCTTTAGTGGCCTGATTCTGATTCTGCACCTTAATCACAGGCAAATGGTAGAACAAATTGGGGGATTGAAAAAAAAAATATATATATATATATATGATGTTGAAAATTAGACTAAATGATGGTGTCTGATTAGACCATGTCCTGTCCCTAGTGCCTAAGTTCATGTTGGTTGAGTGGATTACCTAAATTCCTTTTGGTTTAGTTATTGCCTACTTTAGTGGGTTGCCTATTGTACCTCGTGCCTAGAATTCCTGTTGGTTGAATGATTGCCTATTGTGGGGAAGCTTTGTCAGAAGTATTATTATTGTCACTAACCCTGTGTTTCATGTGGAAAAAAAGTGAAGGAATAGAAGGAAGCAAAATGTGGCATTGGAGGGATCTTGAGTATTATTTTATCTAGTTGTACGATTCTAAGAATTTTGTCAGTATAACAACTAAAAAGCAACTTCTGAAAGTTTTAACGGATAAAATTAATGCTTTTAACTATTTTTAAGAAAGTAAATATTCTATCTTTAAATGTTATGTTGGGGCCAATTTATTTTGGTATCAAAGTCTCGGGTTTCCTATCTCCTTATTTCAATTGAAATGTGAGAGATTAACTTACTGAAACAATGATAATAAAAATAATTTCATCCCTTCAAAATATACTAGTTCTCTTCCATTCACAATTAATTAATCAATTAAGTTTTTCATAATGAAAATAATTTTCTTTAATCGTTATTGGTCTATTATTATTAGTAGTTCTAATAAAAAGTTGAGGGTTTGATAATGATTAAGAATAATTGTTGAATGCGGCAATCTAAGTTGTCTGACATACAAATCAAAATCAATTTGTAATTTGGACAATAATCATATCATTTATAAAAGTGTAAAGAGTTTTAGTATTTATCAATTAATATAAAAAGGAGTTTTTAAAAGAGCTATTAGAACACAAGTTATCTATTTATTATGAGTTTTTATTTTTTAATTAATATAAGTTGTTTAGAAAAGTTTTCATAAAACTCAAATCACCTATTTATTACGAATTTTTTAAAAAAGGAAACTTAATTAGATAAGGAAATATATAAATAAAATAAATAATTTAGTTTATCTAATTAGACAAGAATGTATATAAAAAGTTTAATAACTGAATTCCTATTAAAAAGATTAATAATTGAATTCCTATTAGAAAGTTTAATTAATAACTAATGTTTGGGTTAATTACAACGACACTCTCTGAGATTTGTCATAATAACAGTCATATATAAGTTAGGCTTTTTTTGAACATTGACACCCCCCGTCAAAAATTTCAACCAAACAGTCCTTAAAAAAATGGTAAAAGACAAGATTGCCATTCAACATTTAATTGATTTTTTAATGTAAAATATCTAAGGACATCAATGACAGAATTGCCCTTAATGTATACGAACCACCATCTCTCTAAGCTTTCATCTTAGATGTTGGTGGCGGTGACGAAGTGGAAGGTGGTGGAGCCCAGTCGGAGGGATGATTAGGTGATGAAGATGGAACTAGGTATAAAGGATATGTTCAAAAGTACGATTAAGATCTACCACGCTAGGGACTAAGGATGGAGCCAATTAAGGACCAGGAGGGGCACGTGCCCCCCCTGGATTTTCTCCCTCTCTTATATTCTATATATATTTTATAATAATATATATGTTTTTTAATGAAAATATGGAAAGTGCCCCCCCTGAATTTTCTCATTCTCCATAGAATTCTATATATGTTTCATATTTTTTTTATCCTAAATTATTTCCTTAATCCTTATATTCTATATCTATAAATTAATTTCATTCCAAAAATATCATTATCTCTTTCTATATATATATATAGACTCATAAATATTGACTTATATACATGTAAATTATATTATAAATATATGGTATGGTATACAGTACTATAATGTGCCCCCCCTGAAATTTTTTTCTGGCTCCGTCCCTGCTAGGGACACCACTACCGACCACGTCACCGTCAAGATCTTCAACAACAATAAGATCGTTGGAACTAGCTTGATGTCCTTTAACCCCAAACCTAGAGATTGAATCATCAAGATCAATTGAAAATGGGAGAGATTGGTGATTTCAACGGCGTTGTCGGGTGTGACAGTTATTGCAATATTTCTGAATTTCGTCATTTTCCATTTTTCTAGAATTTTTCGTTTACGTAAGGACATTTTCGTCTTTTGCCTTTTTTCTTACCGGGCACCGTGGGGTGTGCCGAGAGTGTCTAAGAGTTGGTTGGGGCATTTCATTGAGTTCAGGACTCTTTGAAATGCAAGGGTTGTCTTTTTTGCATTTTTTCGTTTTTCGAGCCGAACGGTCTCGTGTGGGACCCGCTACCGAAATTGTCGTGTACGAGAATTTTAGTCTGGTCCATTGGCATCACATACATTTTGTTGATGTATTTTATGTGGGTTTTATAGGGTTTGTGCATGTATATTTGTGTGTGGTGTAAAAAGGAAATAAAAATTTAATCAAAAAGAAATTTAATTTTGGTGGTGGGACCCACCGCCACCTTAAGAGATCAAGAGGCCGTTTTGGCCTCTCATTTTTCCTCTCTCCCTCTCGGCACTCTATCTCTCCCACCCTCCTTCCTTCATTTTTTTTTTTTTTTTTTTTTTTTTTTAACTCAAGTTTCAAAAGTTGATTAATACTTCAATTCTTAGAGATTTTTGATGTCGTTTGCGGCACGTTAAAGAGCTTGAAGAGATCTACGTTTTGATCGGAGCCAATCTCCATTTGGCCACCATTTTGGGGATCTCAAAATCCTAGGGTTTGAGGTGATTTGGGGCTTTTCTTCAAATTAGAGGTAGGAGTTTCTAATTCATAACTTCTTAGGCTTTATGTGAATTTCTCTTCATGAATTTGTTGTCTAACATGATCATTTGTGTTGATTCCGTTTTAAATGACTTAATTGTTGTAAATAAAGCATGTCTCTATATATGTGTTGATGTAGTATGGAATAACATGCTTAAGTGGTTTTATTATTTGCCTATCATGTGTAAATTTCTAGATTTTACAATATGGAAGCATGTTGTTTATTTTGTTGAGATTCCCCTAAGGCTTGTTGTATGTGGTACTTGATCTATATAGTATGGAAATTATATATATTTGTACGATTGTATTAGGTATGATGCATTCATGCATTCCATTGGGAAAGAAAGGGGAAAATGTTTTAAAGAGTAAAAATGGGAACTTATTTTCTTTGGGAAATGATTTTGAATTGGATTTGCGAAAACTGGATGCCTAAGAGGCGTCTAGTGGTCCATGTTGTTAGTGTAGTCTAGAAAGGAGTATGGTTGAATTAACTAGGCCAGATGCGACTCCTTGGAGGTGCCTTGTGGTCGAAGATAATTAGTCAACCCACCATTCGTGACGACTTGGAGGTGCCTTGGGTCGGATTACACTGACGGTTTTGGAAGTTGAAACGGAAATGTTTCGAGCATGGGGAGCGACATTTGCATGACATTGCACTTCATTAGATTATATGGATTGTATGTGTTTGGATGACAATTATCATATACTGGTTGTTGTAAGTGTTGTCATATAACCCCTATGTCATGATCCCATTTTCTCTCTTATCTATTTCTTATGTGGATTCACGGGGTCATAAGAAATGTGTTTTAGGCATCACCTACTGAGCTTAGGCTCACCCCATTTTTTTACTATCTTTTGTGTTCTTATACCCACTCTTTTGTACCCACTATTTTGTAGAGTCCTATTTTGTGAATGTATACATTTTGTATAGCATGGCCATGTAATGGGTGATGAGCACTGAAAAGTACGTATTTAAACCCCTTAAGCTTAGACGTACCTTTATCTATCTTACTTTACCATTTTAGATTGATTTCGTATTATTTCCATTTTCAGGCACTTATCCCGAAAATAAGCTAACTCAGCCAAATAAAAGCTTAATTAAAGCAATTCCGAGATTAATCAAAGAAAGGAGCAAAGTGGAGAAAGAAGGAAGTAAATGAAGCCAAAGGTGGCAAGCAGCAAAATTCGATCGATCCAAGTTCAAGGTTCGATCGATCGAACAATGATCGATCTCAGCACTTCAAGATAGATCCAAACCTTGACCCAAAAGCATTAAGTTCCAAAAGTTCGATCGATCCAACACCATCCTTCGATCGATCCAACACTTTTGTCCTTATTCAAATAATTGATCCTATCCACAGCTGTACCACCCACTAACCACTTTTGTCTTTTTCCCATAAATATCTCCCATAAATATCTCAGATTTGTCTTTTTCAAAAAAGCTCAGCCAGTTAGATCGATCCAGCCTAAGTTCGATCAATCTCACTTACTTTCGATCGATTCAAGTTCAAGGTTCGATCGATCGAACTTCCTCCAGTGCGAAAAAGTTAAAATTCCATCTCATTGAAAGTTGTCCTTTATCCAATCATTAGGGAATAATGTGTGCACGACCCCAGCTCATTTTGGGTGTCATTTTGACCTACCTATATAAGGATAAGGATTGCTTTTTCAATGGGGAGCCAATTTTATTTTCATATCATCTCTTGGAGAGGAAGCTTAGAGGAGGAGGAGGCTAGAGACACCATTGGAGACTCTTCATCAACAAGGAGCAGATTTCAATTATGGAATTGGCCCTTGAGGGTTGGAGCATCATCACCATGAGTGGCTAGACATCCTCTTGGGGCTAGAGTTAGCCCTAAGCATGCTTTCTATATCTTAATCTTGTGTATTATTGAGGGATTAGTGTTGTAATTAATGTTTTAACACTTTTATACATATAGATCTTATTTATTCAATGATTTATGTGGTTTAATGCTTCCAATCAATCATTTCATTCTATCCATATGTCTATGTATGCTAGAACAGATGTTCATGTGTTTATCTCTTTTTCTTGTGTAATTAATGCATGTCTATGTGTATTAATGCTATGGATTTAGGGATTGTCAAAACATTGTCCTTAAAAGAATGCTCTTGTGATTTTCTAGATGGTTCATGCTCACTTTTTGATTATTATTCCTCTCCCTTAGCTTAGTTAATTTAATTTCATGCCACTAGTTTAATTGTAGTGTAGTGATAGCATAA